GGCATGCGCAAAGCAACATCAGACTCGGAAAATCCCCCACGGTGCTGGTCACTGTCTAATGACGCAGATTCTCAGGACTTCCTTCTCAGGTTCTATTTTATAGACCTTCTAATTCCTACCCACAACCCGATTTTATGAATTGTTAGAACAGAGTTAGGATACTGGTTGTAGATGACATTAAAACAGCTTATTAAAAAACAAAAAACAGCAGCTTATATTGGTGCCTGGGTAGCTTAACTGGTTAAATGTCTGACTCTTGGGTTTGGCTCAGGTCAAAATCTCGGGGTCCTAAGATCGAGCCTCACGGCTCGTCGGCTGTTCCTCTCCTTCCCACTTGGCCTGTGTATTTGTTCTCTCTTAAATAAAATCTTACAAAACAAAAACAAAAACAAAAACAAAAACAAAAAACCCCACAGAAACAGCTTAAAAAAAAAAAAAGCCACATTTCCTCTAGCTCATTCCCATAAGCAATATCCTTCATCATAAAAGTCAGACAAATCTGTATCATAATCTGAGTCTCACGTTTTATTAGCTGCTTGACCATAACTTACCTTTAGTTTATCACCTGTAAACCATAATAATGACTAATTTGAAAGGTGGTTTTAAAAATATAGACTATGGAAAATATACAGCACAAGTAGTTTTTAACCCATGATCCTTTCCCTTTCCCCAGGTATCCATTTTCTAGGTCTATTGTGCCATAGGGATGGGGATGTATCATGGATATAGTAAATGAAAGGAAAAAAGGCTGAGCAGCTCCATTTTGCTCCAGGGAATTTAGGACAAATACACAGCACACAAGAGGAGTGCTGTCCTCTGCCTAATAGATAAACTGGCTTATACCATGCTGTGAAGCTTAAAATAACTCAGTCTGAACAGTGTAGCCATAGGGTGTTAGTTTTACAAAAGCATCTATATTAGGACTGGCTGGAGGTAAGGACAACGACGATCTGAAGTTACCTGTCACCTGGATGGAAAAGAGACACGTCCACCCAGCAGCTGGGCACCGGCCCCATGCTCCGTGGTAACACATTCTGAGGCACGTCACTTGACACAAAGCTCAGGCTACTGAATGGACCGAAGTAAACTTCACAGGGATAAGAGATCAGTCTTCCCTGTTTTTTTTTTTTTACCTTTATTAAAATAAGCAAGTATCAGGTTAATAGGATTGCAGTCAGGTGAGGCTTGGGACTGACCTGTGACTAATTTTAGATTTGATCTCTGTAAGCCATAAAGAAACCTACGGTGACATTCATTCTGCACATCCAGTGGGCTGCAAAACTGCCAATATTTCAGAGTTTTCAATTTATCCAGGATGAATGTCATTTGCTTGGACAAGTAATATGTTCTAAAGATTAATGGACCTTCAAATTCTGTATGTCCGTGTTGTGCATACGGTCTCACTTAGGGATTGATCATCACCTCCAACAGGGTTGGAAAAAAAAAGAAATGGGAATTGTAAGCAGCTCATGGATGATGTTTGGAGCAAACCTGGGAACAGTCAATGCAGTGGGTTAGAGGCAATCAACAACCTAGTCCAGGTATCCTTATTTACAAATTAGAAGAAAGATAACCTCATAGAAAATGAGCTAAGCACAGGAACAGGCATTCCACGGAATCGGAAACAAATGGCCAATACATTTGTGACAAAATGGTCAATTTCAGTTGTCAGAGGAGTGCAAATTGTATAAGGTTTTTCACATTGTATCCAAAGCTGGCAAAGATGTATGCCCAAGCTGATAAAGGCCTTATGTAAAAATCCCACAGCCAACATCATACTCAACGGTGGAAAACTGAGAGCCCTTCCCCTAAGGTCAGAGCAAGACAAGGATGTCCACTCTCACCACTTTTACTCAGCATAGTACTGGGAGTCCGCTATAGCACTTGATAACAAAAAGAAATAAAAGGCATCCTGATTGGTAAGGAAGAAGTAAAACTCACTGCTCACTGTATGCAGATGACAGGATACTACAAGGAGAAAACCCTGGAGACTCTACCAGGAAACTACTAGAACCGATGAATGAATTCAGTAAGGTCGCAGGATACGAAATCAATGCACAATGCAATCTGCTGCATTCTTATGCACTAATAATGAAGCAGCAGAAAGAGAAATTAAGAAAACAATCCCATTTATAACTGCATCAAAAAGAATAAAAAACCTAAGAATAAACTCAAGGTGAAAGACCTATCTATACTCTGAAAACTGATTTAATAAAAAAAAAAACCAAAAACCTCTCAAACACTGACGACTGAAATTAAAGATGACGCAAAGAGATGGAAAGACATTCCATGCTCATAGGTTGGAAGAATAAATGCTGTTAAAATGTCTACATTACTCAAAGCAATCTACAGATTTAATGTAATCCCTATCAAAACACTAGCAGCATTTTTCACAGAACTAGAACAAACAATCCTAAGATTTGTATGGAACCACAAAAGACCCCGGATAGCCAAAGAAACTGGAAAAAGAGAAAGAAAACTGGAGGTATCACAATTCTGGATTTCAAACTGTATTACAAAGGGGTGGTAAATAAAACAGCATGGTACTAACATAAAGATTGACAGATCAATGGAATAGAAGAAAACCCAGATATGAACCCACAATTATATGGTCAATTAATCTTCACCAATAAAGAATATTCATCAATAAATGAATCTACAAGGGCACCTGGGTGTCTCAGTTGGTTAAATTAAGCCACTGCCTTTGGCTCAGGTCATGATCCCAGAGTCCCAGGATCGAGGCCCACATCAGGCTCCCAGCTCCGTGAGGAATCTGCTTCTCCCTGACCTTCTCCCCTCTCATGCTCTCTCTTACACACACACTCTCTCTCTCTCTCAAATAAATAAATAAATAAACTCTTTTAAAAAAATGAATATACAATGGAAAAAAGTCTCTTCAACAAATGATGTTGGTAAAACTAGACAGCTACATGCAAAGGAATGAAACCAGACCACTTTCTTTCATCATCCATAGAAACAAATTCAAAATGGATTAAAGACCTAGATGTGAGACCTGAAATCATAAAAAATTTTTGGAGAGCACAGGCAGTAATTTCTCTGACGCTGGCCATAGCAACATTTTTCTAGCTATGTTCCATAAACTATCGAGACTATGTCAAAATGAAAAGCTTGTGCACAACAAATCAAGAAAAGTAAAATGCAACCTACTGAATGGGAGAAGGTATTTGCAAATAACTTATCCAATAAATATCCAGAATATATATCCAGAATATATATATCCATATATATATATATATATGTATATATCCAGAATATATATCCAGAATATATTAAAAACTTACATAACTCAACATCTAAAAAAAAAAAAAATAATCCAGAAGACATGAACAGATGTGAACAGATATTTCTCCAAAGAAGACAGACACACGAAAAGATGCTCAACACCACTCACCACCAGGAAATGCAAATCAAAACCACCGTGAGGGGGACGCCTGGGTGGCTCAGTTAAGCATCTTCCTTCAGCTCAGGTCATGATCCCAGGGTCCTGGGATCAAGTCCCACATTGGGCTCCTCGCTCAGCAAGGAGCCTGCTTCTCCCCCTGCTTGTCACTCCCCCTGCTGGTGCACTTGTACTCTTTCTCTCTGGCAAATAAAATCTTAAGGAAAAAAAAAAAGCCAAAAAAGGAAAAACCCTAAACAAACCACCATGAGGTATTGCTTCATACCTCTCAGAATGTCTAAAATCAAAAACACAAGAAACAAACAAGTGTTGGTGAGGATATAGAGAGAAAGGAATCCTCTTGCACTGTTGGTGGGGATGCAAGCTGGTGTAGCTGCTGCAGGAAACATTATGGAGGGTTCTCAAAAAATTAAAAATAGGACTGCTCTATGATCCAGCAATTGTGCTATGGGGTATTTTATCCCCAAAATACAAAAACACTAATTCAAAGGGATACATGCACTCCTATGTTTACTGCATCATTACTTACCATAGCCAAACTATGGAAGCATTCCAAGTGTCCACTGATAGATGAACAGATAAAGAAGATGTGTTATATACAACAGGAGAATATTGTTCAGCCATTGAAAAGAATGAAACCTTGCTATCTGCAACATGGACAGAGCTAGAGAGTATAATGCTAAACGAAATGCCCGTCAGAGAAAGACAAATGCCGTAAGATCTTACTCATAGGTGGAATTTAAGAAACAAATGAGTGGGGGAAAAAAGACAAACCGAGAAACAGACTCTTTAACTATAGAGAACAAGCTAATGGCTAACCAGAGGGGAGGTGGGGGGTGTGTGTGGAAAGATTAAAGAGTAAATTTATCACGATGATAAATAAATAAATAAGGGGGGGGGTGGAGAGTACACGCCCATCCACAGTTAGTATGAGAGCTTTTTGGGAGAAGTGGTTTGGTTAACATAAAAAATTTTAAATTTATCATATCTTTTGATGCAGATATCCCCCTTACAAAAATTTATCCTATAAAAATACTTAAAAGAATGCAAAATGATGTGTATATCAAGATTCCTCAAAAAAAACAAACAAAAAAAAACAACAACAACAAAAAAAAACCCCCAAAACCTTAGTAGAGCACTGTTACAGACTAATGGGGTTGGGGGTGCCCAGGGGAGGCATGTATGCATAATGCAAGAATGTTTACAGAAAGGACGATATATCCTTACTGCATAATATTTTGTAGCCAAAATAGGATTACCATAAAAAGACTGAAGAAACTGAAAAGAATGAGAATACAGTATATTCCACATTTATGTTTATAAACAAGGTGTAAGTGCATAATAAAAGTTCTGGAATGAAATGCACCAATTTCATGGCTCTTAACTCTAGAAGGAAAGAGATGAAGTATGTCTGCCCTTGCAATTTTTGCTCTGTATGCTTTTTATGTCATTTGATTTTTTTTTTAATAGCCTATTTGTAAATCAGTTGAAAACAGGACTTTTTAAAAAATCCCAAAATGATCTACATGTATATGTAGGCTTGGGAAGCTCTGCAAAGCCACTCTAGCCTATCACTTATTCCCACCTTAAGATGCTTGGCAAATCCTCAGTTGCAATCCTGGGTGCTGAGTCCTGCCCGCAAGAAGAGTTTCTTCAAAGACTGCAGGACAAAGATGGAAAAGCAGGGAGCTGACAGTGAAACTTGAAGACATACTTCTAAAGCTCATGCCGTTGAGTACAACTTATTTTTCACATCCAAGAGTGTACGTAACTGTAGAAAAGTGTGTGTGTGTGTGTGTGTGTGTGTGTGTGCGCGCGCGCGCGCGCTGTTGTTTAGATGATAATTTACAGGAATATTTAGCAGTAGAGAGCTACAAACCCATCATTGTTTCTGCCGCCTACCCATGAAGTAAGGTAAATGAGAAGTTAGGACTGGGCCCCAGTAATAGAGAAGGGTGATTTACAGCACTTACCCAGGACAGGAACATGGTCTTTTGAAGCTAAAATAGAATTGTCTGTTTAGAAAGTGTGCCAGGTCTGCCCTCCAGTCTGTTGGAACGGCACAGGTCTTTATTATCTGAGCCTTGATGTCACACTACAGTCTTGCCTTCAGCGGAGTGCGGTCTACGGGAAACCACAGACACTGACAGAGTCCTGTTCTAAGACAAAACAGACGAGACAAGGACATTTATCTGAGCACAGCCGAAGTACCCGCAGATAAACCTCTGGTCATACTACAGTAAAGACCCGTTGTGCTTCAGTCGTTTAGAATGGCTTGGAAGATTCTCAACAGCTAGATGTCCCAAGTAAAAGTAGCTGGGGTTGTGACAATTGTCATATCCAACAACCGTGGCAAACAGTGAACAAACATCTATTTACATAATCCAGGCTCCCAAAGTGCAGAAATGCTTGCCAACACAAAGCCTGAGAAGGACACAAAGGGCAAGGACAGCTCACCTCAGAGCTGGCACCAGTACTCAGTGATAACACTGCCACCTCACGGCACCCCTAGACACCACAAACAGAAACTACAGACATTGGTAGAAGTTGGCCTACTTAAAACAAACTTCACTTATAAGAGCTATATTAAAAACTGAAATGTGAAAGATAGAAATCTTTCTAACACAGTAAGAGGTTAATATCCCAAATACAGAAATCAGAAAGGAAAAAGAGGAACAGCCTGAAAGGGAGCATCTATTCTTTTCTGTTGCTCAGCTTCCTCTCTCTTCCTTGAGAACCCTTCCTAATGGTGAACTCACTACATGATTGAGGTGAAAACCTTCTGCCCATCTACTGAGCTGGGCACTTGAACTGGGTGTTAGGGTATTGGTCATCTAACCCACACTCTGCGAATGGCAGCTTGGTATGGGATGGGAAAAAATAGTATCATAGGGGACAAAATGTAAGAAGACACCGTTTCCCACCTAAAGAATTAGGTGGGGATTCCCGCCCCTCCCCGTGCCTTGCATTCTCCAAACATGATACCCAGGCTTGGTAAATGAACGGGTTATCAGTGCATGCTAAAATCACGAAGTGTCAGAGGTTGTGGGACCAGGGAAAAGCCCGTATTCACAACAGCGTTTCAGTGATTGTATCCTAACCAAACATCCAAAGTCAGCATCACTAACAATTTTAGCTGCCTCCTGATAGGACACAATGTGAAGTACACCACATCCCCTGTGGGGTCCTGCCAAATATCATCCAGCCTCTAAGACCTAACCCAGTTTGCGGGAAATACAGGATTTGGACAAATGAATTAAAGGATGCTTCGGGAAACACACAAATCCAAGATGTAGGACATCATATTTTTAAAAAAATTTTTTATATAATGACTAAATGTTACACACGAAACTTGACTGAATCCTGGTTTGAAAAAGAAGCTCCAAGACCTCTCAGGGACAATTACACAAATTTTAACATGAACTGAGTACTAGATGCCTGTTGAAAACTTTTCTTAGATGGTACGAGATGAAATGCATGAACTTTTTTGGACTGAAACCTAATTCAACATACATATATACATGGCACACATTTACCTAAGGACAATATGGTAAAATTTTAATTGCTGAATCTGTCCAAGTACTTTGATTCAGGGATGGCTGTGGAAACATTCTTTACCATAGCACCTAATTAGAAATAATCTCAGTGTCTAACAAGGAGGTTGGTTAAATAAACTGGTACAACCAATGAAGGACAATAACTACCAACATCTGTAACAGACAAGATAGGACACGGGACGTTTTTGTGTGAAAAAGATGAAAACCAAAGATTTTATGACCTGTCTGTCAAAGCCTAGTTCAAATGAGATATCTGCCCTTTAGCTTCTCTTAATGAGAACTAAAAAGACTCCCTTTTCCCCACACATGCTTGCCTTTATGTGCTTACCAGTTCCTGCTGCTTGTCAATTCTACCACAAGCTTGCTGAGTGAGGATGGGGGTCTGTTCAGCAGGACCAATGCAAGTAGAAGTCACCTAACCTACAGAACAAAAAGTGAAAAAGAAAGAGGAGGGTAGTGAGGTCTTTCTCAGTGTTCAGTCAGAGGCTAGAGGGTAGCTGTGGGGATATTGTGGTACAGTAAGGGGAAGCAGTAAATTAAAGGAGCCACGAACATTTGTGAATGTTCATGCCAGGTACTATGCTAAGCTCTCCAGAACCATCTAGCCCAATCCTTACCATCTTACTACTAGTTAGACACCAAATCAACGAAGTTGATAAAGGAGAAAACCCCAGAGAGGTTAAGTGACTTGCCCAAGGCCACACAGCAAACTCAAGAACCAGGATTAAAATTCACCAAGTCAGATTTCAGCACCTCAGTTTTTCCTGATTTACTAAAATCACTGAGGAAGAACATGAGGTCTTTCAGAGTAGCAAAGGGAGGAGAGACCAGATGGCCTCTCAAAGCCTATCAGTACCAACCAATCTGTCCACCCAACAAACATTGAAAACAGGCAAATTATGGTCACCGGTGCACCTGGCACTCAATGTCAGAAAGAGAAGATACCACACTGGTGAGAGGTTAATCTGTGTGACAGAAGTTCTTAAAAATAAAAGAAGAGAAGGATGAGCTTCCCTCTGCCCACATCTTTTCCCATTTCAACAAAATAAATAATAAATGAGGGTGTATTATTGCACCATGTCAGAATCTTCTTGGCTCTAAGTGGTAATTATATATAGCAATTTTAGGAATTACTTTATTCAGGCAAAATGAAAGCATGGATTCAACCCCAGTGATTTTTCTAAATTTTTATTGTTTTTTTTTTTACAGCTCGATCCTCTTGTGAAAAGGAAAGAATTTGAAGATTAACAAGTCAATTACATTTTTTTTAAACAGCAATTAATCCTCATTACAGAGAACAACAAACAAAAGATCTGTGGCACGTTCTTTGGAAAGATCTTTTGCAAAATTTTCTTCTAAAAAAAGAAAACTATAATTTTCACAGATCACATATGTCTCTTTCAAAGGACTATACAAGGCGGCTAAATTTTATTCACAAAAGCCCCAAGTCGCAGTTCCATTGCTGAAGTAGATAAAATACATGGAGTCCCCGTCACTTGGGTTGCACATCTTCCCATTGAGAGCATCACTGCTTCCCTATCCTACGTATAAACTCACTGTGTGGACTAGACAGCTGGCACGTTATTCCACAAGAACTAAAGACAAATTCATATTTCAGACCAGTGATCGTTTTATCAACTGGACCAACTTACTCCTTTTTTAAACAATTTCAATACCAAGATTTGACTTCCTCTAAAGTTATAAGAAAGCAACAAATATATAATATAATATAATATATAATGGTAATAAATAAAAAAAGGCAACCCTGCTCAGGTATCATCCAAAACATGATCACATTCAGAAAGAAACAAAAAACAAAAAAGATTTGGGACACATGCCTATAAACACACACACACACGCACACACACACGCACACAAGAACAGTGTATACTTGATATCTGAGGGGAGATGTGCAGTAATTTTAACAATACACGTTGATGGCCCGAACAAAAGGCAAAGTTAATACTGCCTGTGTTAAGCATCACTTAAACATCTACTTTTAAGCAAAGCACGTTACCTTCCTTAGGTCGGCCATTGCCTGGTCTTACCAGTGCAGCTGGGCCAGCCTTGCTGCCAGTGGGCTTATTCCCTTGTCCTTCCAGGTCAGTAGAGTAGAGTATCATCTAGGCTCACAGGAGCTGTGTTTCCTTCCTGCCCTTGTGGGTAGAGAAATACAGGCACTTTCTTACCCATCACAGTACCTGTTGAGATCTGTTGCACAGTGGAACATAGTGTGATTTCCCTGGGACAAGGGGAAATTCACAGCCCCCGTAAGTAGACAGATGGTGCTTGCCAACTCATCGTTAAGAACTCAAGAACATGGCCAGTGTCATCATTCTCAGTCATCAAGAAACCAGCACAACTGGATTGCATACTGGAGGTTTATATGGTAGAGATACCACCTGTGGTGTTTGAAGGAAAATCTGCAACACCATGTAATTCTGCCACTCCACCTCCAGCAAACAAAATGACGGAAAATAAAAAGGCACAGGAGAAACCTTCTATTCGTTAATTTTCAATAGGACCAAAAACAATCAAAAGAGACAACCCACTGCAGAAAGGGAACAAAGAAGTACCGCCATGATCTCCACATGCCTCCAGAGCCATATACACAACTCATTTTCCAGTGAGCAAATCTCTGCATCTGTGTTTCTAAAAGAAGCCCAACTACCCTAGCAAAATGGAAATACTGGTACTTGATGGTAAAGACTGTAGTAGAATAAGTGGCAATGTTTTTCAAAGATTTGTGTAGTGTCTGGGGAAAAAAAAATCCTTAAGAAAAAAGCAGACCCGGTGGTGGGAGGTAGGGAATCAAGCCTTCCTGGATTCATTAACCTGAAGATGAATAAATACGCATCAAACTTCATGAAGCAGGAGAACAAAAGGTGCAAGACCCACATTAACATGTCTTAAAGCCGTATCAAAATAAATACAGCATTATCCCCAAATTAGTATTTCTCAAAACTAGGTTTGGTCAACAAAGGCACAAGGAATACATCTAATTCAAACAGCCTCATACTCTGTGTGTGTGAATGTTTGCATGCATACAACACACACATGTCCTTTCTAGATTAGACACAAAAGCTGTTCATTTTGGAGGACATAATGGTTCATCTTTTTGCTTCTAAAAATTATTGGGCAGGAATCCTAATAAAATAGTAAGCTCCTGATTCTACTACCATGAATATTTAAGGTACCAATTAAGGCAAATTTTCGGCCAGAAAGGGGTCGACTGTTAGGTTCTCAAAAGCCTGAGATCTGGAATTAAAGGATATAAACGTGTTCTAACTTGTCTGGGGGAGAAAGCAAAGTATCTTGGTCAAAACAGATCTATAAAATAAAGTCCTTTTATTAAAAAAAAAAAAAAAAAAAAAAAGCAGATTCACTCAATGTCATTCACTGAGTGTGCCGTAGAAGCCAGTCTGTTGCGGTTCTCATCCTGACAATAGGCCTGCTGGACCCTCACTTCTTCACCACAGCTCGCGTGTGGTCAGTGTTTTCACATTCTTAACCCAGTGTCATTTGGCAAATTTCAGTGAAGCGTCTTTCATTCTTTAGCAGGACCCCTAGTCTGGCTAAAATCTCAAGCTCAGTGATTCACATTTTAATTATCTCCAGAATGGACAGAAACATTCAACATTTTAAAAAGTAAAGCAGTGTTCTTCCATCTCTTAGTAAAGACACACACACACACACACACACACACGCACATGAACACACAAAACTGTAGTGCCAAAGGCAAGATTTTACAATTTTCACTCCTGAAGATATTTTTGTATTTGTCTCATTTTATAATCTAGTCCTTTCAATTATCTACCTCAGTACAAATTCTGCCTTTGGGAATTTAAGCATGCAGTGAAAAAGTGCAGTGATTTTTAAAATTCTCTAGATTTCTATATACAACTGTAACAGGAAAAAGACCTTATGAACATTAAGGATTCATCAGCCACTATTTTTCACATACTCTATTTAAAAAGTAGCCACCGGGAATCCTTTTAGGTACAATGCAGTAAGAATCAGAAATATTCCATGTTCAAAATACTACAAATTGATCTCTGCAAATTGATTAGTTTTTCAAGGGACAAATTTTCAATATAAAGGTCGGGGGGGGGGGGGAACACTACTCACAAAGAATAAGGCCACTGAGAAAGCAATTGGTTTTTTGGTTTTTTCTTTTTTTTTTTCCTTTTTCTTTTAGAAGTGGCTGAGAAATGGACTCAGAAATGTCTTCAGTCACAGGAGCGCTGTTGCTCATGGGTGGCGCGCGCGCACACACACACACACACACACACACACACATACTCCAACACAGTCTGCATAGATCAGAACCTGTCCGAAGAAGACATGGCCTCCCAAACTGACAAGTGACTTGTACTGGGGAATGGTGGGTTAAAGGGGACAGAGAAGACCAAGTGAATGAGGGGGGAAAGGACATTAAATAATCACATAAACCTGATTCTGGTGTCCTGTTTCACACATATTAAGAGATGGACACGACGTCACAACCCACCAGACAATTACTGCTTAATTAACGGAAGGTTCCGTTGAATGGCTTTGCTTCAGAACATCAGTGAATGAAACAGGTCCATCAAGATCACATATCCGGTTCTCATGCTCAGATATATTCCTGTTGGACGTAACTCTCTGGCCTTCACCTAAACATGAGGTGCCAAACCTCTGAACTAGCTACCGATAAAAAAAAATAGGTTGGAGAAGACACTGAAGGAACGGCTTCAGACAATTCATACGTGAAAATCATCACCACTCCCTTCCTCTACACATCCCTTTATGTATTGACCAAATCACCGAGCTCTTATATTCCTCATACGGACTTTTGACCTCTTCATTTTAAAGATGGCACTCCCTTCTTCATTAGTAGTATGAACATGACAAACATTCTGGGTAGGAAACAAAATGTGAAGGGGCAGAATGGGATGAAGGGGGAGAAAAATGAACCAAGGGTAGTGATAACACTCACTTCTCAATTTTAATACATGTGCAAATTCTACTTCTAAAAGGGATATCAAGAATTGGCTTTTAAAAACACTGAACTCAAAATAATGCTTCCAATAACCTTCAAAGTTTCAATTAAAAAAAATCTGTGCTTATGGTTACGTGGGAATTTTGATTGTTTTCTTTCCTTTTAGGTCATTCCCTATGAACTTGGTTTAATATCTAATACGGCAATAACAACATATGGGAAGGCCACAGTTCCTCTTCAATCCAATCAAATCTAGTTGATTGAGAACACTTTGGAGTGAAGGCATGCGGTGACAATTTTTTTTTTAAGTCTAATTAACCACCCAAATCTCCATATCCTCTCAGGAAGTTAATTTACCCTAGACAATCAAGGGCTCAAAAAGTCTACTTTTTGCTATAAATATAAAATAATCTGTAGCAGAAAAATATAGCCTCTCTAAGAAGTAGATTTCATTTTTGTTTGCTGACAAAATTGTGAGTTGGTTAGACAACATGAGTTACCACATAACTGTACACCACAGATCAGCACCTCAAATTCCAGCTCTACTTAAACAAAAATTAAAAAGCACTTTAGCCATCTGGTCTGGTATAAATGTTGGTTCCCTTCTTCCCCAAGGTAGAAAATTCAGAATATAGTCAACGGTGACTGCCTTTCGCTGAAGCAGGGGGTAGGGACCGCAGCACCACATCCTCCATTGTACGTGCGAGCTCAAGATGGCTTCCCCGTGGGCGGCAGCTCCTCCCTCCACTGCTCCGACTTACGCTCCCAGCAGTGACGGACAAATCAGAACTGGGGTGAACGCATGGTACTCCAGGCAATGGGGGAGCGGGGTGGGGAGGGGGAGTTGCCTTCGATTTCATAAATTGTGACAATACTTGGTATTATCAAAGCCACTGTTCACAGGCAGAAAGTGGGGTACACTGGAGTCCTTCACAACTTAGCTTTATAGATGACCGTCAAAATTTACTAAACAAATATTTCCCCCAAAACTTAAAAAGAAAAAAAATCATCCACAGAACCCTACACCAAAATTCATTGTTTAAAAAATTTCCTTCTGAGACTAGACTAGGGTGGCTACTGAGGTGACAGGAACGTGCTCTCAGAACTGAAACTGCTTCTCCTCATTTCATCTGCCGTTTGCATCCTGCTGGTTAAAAAAAGTACGGAAATGTTTCTAGACCACTCACACGCCCACTCAGTCTACATTGCACTTCTGTCCTTTAGTTAGGAAAGGCAAGATCATCTCTGAGGCCAGCCTCCTCCTTTCTGCTTCTGCATAACCACCATGTCCAACCAACGATCACGTAAGTTCTTGAAAGTTTGAGTGGACAAATGTTCTGGCCATCTCATGGTGCTTCTCTTCTCGAATTTGGTGTCTTGATGAGACAAACGTCTGAACTGTTTTTGAGGCTTTTAATGTGCAAAAAAGTCCCCAAGCCATCAAATCAACTTGGGCCTCCGTTAAGGTGTTTTGGTTGCTTGCTTTAGCCGCTGAAAACCCTGTCTTGTATAGTGCACCAGATCCATCAAACTGCTGTTGAGGGCCAAGGCACACACACTTGTGCTGAGCTGAGCAAAAAATTCTGCAAACAAAGCAAAACCAAAACCAAGTAAACACATTTGCACACACAGAAATAAAAATGGAAACATAAAAAGTCAACATTCCAGCAACTGTATCCCCACAATATTCCGTACACTTCATCACAGCAAAAAATCGCAGTCTCCTGTAGTGGCTCGCTGGTTCTCCACGTCCCTCCACAACACTGGAATGTAAGCCCTGGGCTGGTTCTTGAGCTGAATCCATAATGCCTGGCACAGTGGCTTGTGCTGGAAAATACCCAACCTGCACTACTGGGTCGATGGATGGGTGAATCAAACAAAATCAAACCAAACCCCCAACATGTGAAGAGCATCATTAGTCTGCTAAGAAAGAAAGTAAAATTCTAGGAGGCAATGAGAAATACAAGTGGCTATAGGTGGTGGGCCACTGCCTTCCCTACAGCCAGGAAAGAATCTGGAACGGCATTACTGGGGCAGTTACGTATCAGCATTTACTCAGTGGTCGCCGGACTGACAGGGAGCAGTTCCTCTAACAACACACACTGTCCCGTCTCCTGAACTTTCTCCAAGGTTTCTTCTTCTCAAAGTCGTCTCAGGAATGTTTTCTAGGCCACACTTTTTATACTGTTGCTAACCGTCTTTCTCAACAGATACGGAAAACAAACGTGCGACTTGGTATTTAGGTCACATGACCTCACGTACCAAGCTGGTCGTGGGCAGAGACAGCCGGTCCCTTCCCCTCTTCACCTGCCTCCCCCCTCTGCTAGCATGTCAGTTCAGGCTGCCACAGTGGCACCAGAACTTCTAGGGGGCAACCACTCCTAAGTTAACACGGAAGTCTGACTCCGCACCACAGAGCTCAAGAAAGAACTGCGGCTGGGTCACGAGGCAGAACGGAGGAGAGCAAATACCTACACCCTCCCTTCTCTTCAGAACACGGAACGTAAACTGCAAACCAACAACGTTCCTCCCTCCTGCTCCCCATGCCCCAGGAGTTACCACCACAGAGCCATTTACCTTTATTCTTCCTTGTAAGGACTTCAGCCTGCTCCCAAAGATCGAAGGCGGTAAGGACATGGGAAGTAATGGTGACATATGAAGATGTCATGTTCTGAATGGTGACAGGCATGCCGCTGCTCCCTACGCTGCCAGCACTTGGCTGGGACCCGACAGAGCCAGCAGGAGAAGGCATTGGAGAGAGAGGGGACGGTGTGCCTGTGGTTCTGGAAAGCAGGAGAAAGAACAGAACTGGTGAGTCACCTAAACCCGCAGACTATGGACTACTTGTCTCTGGGACTGCAGTCCAGTTTTAGAGTTCTGAGGTGTACTAGCCAAAACAATCACTTCCAGAAGATCAGAGATGCCTTTCACCTTCAGTATTTGGGGAATTTATTTCAGGACACACAAGATGGGGCCCATCAAACAGAGAATGTAACTGGGTGGAAGCAAGGTGTCCTTCGCTGGACACGGAATCAGGAGGCACATTATGTTCCAAATATGCTCGTTCCATTTCCAGTCCACTCCCTCGGCCTGAAAGCCCTCCACCCCCCCCAACTCAGTTCTAGCTTCCACCAAGACAATGCTTCCCCGTGAAGATGGTTCTCATCTCCTACATCTTCATTCTCTCATCCAGTCAAACACGGACCGACACCCGCTCCACGCTCGGCACTCTTCTGGACCCCAGATAGACAGCATGGCCTCCCTCCGGCCACCACCTGAACTGGTCTCTTCACATTTACCTATTAATTTACCCATTGCACTTCTCACATCCCATTATACTCTTGTGCCTATTTCTTTTCCTTCCTTGAAGGCTGGGACCATTTCTTACAAATCATGGCATTTCTGGCACTTAACACTGAGAGGAGGCTCTTCCTAAGTATCTACTGAATCGGTGCTTGGCCGAACCAAGGACAGGACGCCTCCGAGGAGACTGGGCAGGAGGCACTGCACCTCAGGGGATGCACTCTTCTCCCTGTTCTCCTTCTGGCTACCTACCTGCACGGGCCTTGATGGGCCTCAAGTGAGAAACATGAGGAAAACACTGAGACGGGAAAGGTAACAGAAAGATCAAGGTCAAGCAGCAGGAGCCTCACGATTGGGTCCATCTGCCCTTGGGGGCTGCAGGGACCCCAAGTGTCCCCCACAGAATATATACCGTGAAGGACTAGAGAGCAATCTCCACGAGGGCAGAAATTCTTGTCTGCTTTGTTTACTGCTTTATCCCCTGTGCCTAAAAACAAGGTTTGGTAGAGAAAAGGTGTTTGCTATAAACTGGCTGGGCAAATGGGTAAGGAGTTATCTAAAATAATGTGACTGACAATTTATTAACTTAGAATTAACATCTGAGATGAGTGGCATGAAAATTTTCGGAAGTAAGAAGTTACTTCTCAGTCAGGACTTTTTTTTTTTTTTTTTTTTTTAAAGAGAGGCCATATGGGAATCTCTCCTTCTGAATGTGCTAGAAATGGGGCAGTCTTCTAGGTGATATTCTTAAAATAGCAGAACTTATCAGAACTGAGAACTTTTCAAGGAGTATAACCAAATTAAAAAAAAAAAATACTAGGCAAGTACTACATACAGGGTAGAAAATTTTAACTTCATCTTAACAACACCTGCACAAAAATTCTGTTTTCACCATGTTATGGCACAGATGAACACCTTCAGTTCACAAAGGAGGTGGGAGTTAGCGAGAGATAGTTTTCATTCTTAACAGTACTGTCATGGACCCATTCTTAACAGTACTGTCATGGACCCTAGATAAGGGGATTTGGTTCTAGAAAGTTCTTATTTACTGAAATGCCAAGACAACATGTCCTACAGACAGAGAAAAGACTTTGGCTCTAGTTGGCTCTGCCTCCGTTTTGTGTTGTCAGACGTATCTGTAGATCCTCAAAGCTCTAAAATTTTGACCTGAGATTCTCTGTAATTATCTTCTTATGTTACTGACTCAGCAGACTTGTAACCTTTCCTTGGCTTGTAACCATTCCTCAAAGAGGTAGAAATACACTAATAATTTAAGTTTAAGGAGCAATTCAGCACACAGATGTAACACAATTTTTGGAAAGTCAAAGTCATACAAATGGCTGCAAAAGCAAGAGGTAAATATAGAGGTATATAGAGGTAACCTGATTCTGAGAATTATTTAAATTAGACTTTTCATTACCTTGCAACGCATGGAGAAGGCGCCTGGGCAACTTTGAAAAGACTGCTGAAGTGTTCGTTAAGAGCACGAGAATACTTTATTGCTGTATCTTTTTTACAACGAAACATCGCCATGTTCAAAATGGACTGGCAACGCATGCTATGAACATAAACAGAAGTGAGAGTGAAGTGTTACTTTTGTAAACACAAGTACCAGCACTACACAAAGCCATCTAACTAACTTTTCACAGTGTAAGGAACACACAGGGCTTTCCTCATCTACGTGAGGAAAAACATCTTAAGACTCTCACTGTTCACACTATCCTCAAAAGGAAATCAGACATAAAGGGGTGCCTGCGTGGCTCAGTCACCTGAGCACCCCATTCTGGATTTCGGCTCACGTCACGGCTTCAGGGTCCTGAGATCAATCCCTCGGTTGGGCTCTACGCTAGGTGTGGAGCCTGCTTCAGGTATTCTCTCTCTCCTTCTCTCTGTCCCTCCCCGCAAAGTAAACATTGGTGGAAAAACACAAATACACAAAAATATCATTTAAGTTGTGAGACCAAAGCATCTATTGAGTCAATGGTAGTAAAATGTAAAATGGCGGTAGATGCCTTTCATAAAAAGTAAGCATCAGTGGGATTAACCCCTTGACCACACACTCTACTTTCTGGTATTGTTTTGCCCTTCACTATTAATTTCCATGTGAAGAAAACAAATTTCAAAATTTTTTTTTGTAACAGCAAAAGATGCAACAGCAAATACCATTTAGACAAGTGAAAAAAAATGTACACACCATAAAACAGCAAATATTTTCTCTTGTGGAGCTGAGGCGTCTGAGAAGGATTTTAATGACATTATAAATCTATAGGAAAATGCAGAAATACATCAGGTTAACCAAAGGCAATAGAAAAGCCAAGGCACAAAGTCATCTGATTATGTTTGTCTTGGTTTTGTGTTGATTTTCCTGAAGATATGAAGACATGAAAACCACACAGAAAAAAACCCCAGGCTTTAGAGCAGTAATTCAGGCCATTCAGCAAAGCGGGCAAAAACACGTCTCTTCTCTGGCCTGTCTACCTGCTGGGAACCACGTAGACTCAAGTCCTCACAGAGTCCCCTGCCCAAACACAGATAAAGAAGGGAGCTGACCCGGAGCTGCCAACACATCTGATAAGACAGCCGAACTGGAAAAACCCGCCTCTCCCTGAAAGGCCTGGCACGTCACAGTCCGCCTGGCAAAAGGACGGGGCTGGACCGAGTCCCTCCATTCTAGCACTTCAGCTAGGATACAACTTTCATGTCAGGCCCAAGAGATGGTCCTGGATCAGTAGCTTTTTTTAAGGCTCTCTCTATTACATCGTCTTCCTACTACATTTGAATCAATTCCAACAATAAAGGCGAGGACGGAGAAGCATGAAGGAAGATGGCAAAATGACATGGCACTTACTTAATGAGGTCCACGCTTTCTGCGTACACCGAGTAAGCCGACTTGCACGCCGGGCTCTCTGACTCCATGGCAATCCCGCACTCAATAAGGGACAAGGCGGCCTCCAAGTACTTAAAAGCCTTCCCAACCTTGTCCGTCTGCAGAAGAAAATGGTCAGCATTAGGCCTCAGACAGACTTAACTGTTTAGTTTCTCAACGACATTCTTTACCTCAGCTTCCCTCCACTGTCTTCGGTTAATTATGGCTAAGGAAAAGCCTGAGAATAACTCGAAATAATAACCAAAGCCCGCTGGCCCTGACTCACTGCAAAATCTCCTTTAGCAAAAAAGTAGTAGGAAAAAGAAAACCATCTTACTAAGACTACTCTCTCAAAGTCTTAAACTACATAATCAAACCAAGGCAGTAAGCGCGTCATTGTTACACATGTACAACTACTCACTATGTGATTCTCCTAAGAAGCAGATATCCTATGCACCTATAGACTGATGCAGACACAAATTTCTTTGTATGTGTTGAAGTTTATCATATAAGCAACAGGAAACATTATGGTTTAGGAGCATCTAAGGACTTCTAACAATAATTGTCTTCTGTATTTTAGGGCCAAACAGATTATCCAACCTCATGTGGAGGTCAGGGTTAAATGTGCAAGGCTATCCCTGGGCCATCGAGGTTAAAACTTCAGAGTCCCTTAAAGGACAAGGAGAAACATGGAGGAGATCAAATCCTGGCGGTCACCTACACCTGAAGGCGGGCAGCATCGCGGACACGGCCAGCTCCTCTGGGACAGGGATGGCGCCTCCACCTTTCCTCTACACTTTCCATAGCACCACGTGTTACAAGAGCAACCAATTCACTCGTATCCAAGTCTGCAGTTTCTGCTAATGCTTTCAATTTGCTACATTCAAAGAGAATTAAAAAGAGCCAAGATGCAAGTGGAGGATAAGGAGATGGTGACATATTGGCAAAGAAAGACGGTGTGGGGCTGCTAATTTTTAAAAAAATAACGTGGATCTAAAATATTTTTTCTAGAGAAAGTCTGGCTCAGAAAATCAGTAACAGTATGGAGGTTCCTCAAAAAGTTAAAAATACGGGGCGCCTGGGTGGCTCAGTGGGTTAAAGCCTCTGCCTTCGGCTCGGGTCGTGATCCCAGGGTCCTGGGATCGAGCCCCACATCGGGCTCTCTGCTCAGCGGGGAGCCTGCTTTTTCCTCTCTCTCTGCCTGCCTCCCTGCCTACTTGTGATCTCCATCTGTCAAATAAATAAATAAAAAATCTTTAAAAAAAAAAAGTTAAAAATACAAACACCCTATGATCCAGCAGATGTACTACTAGGTATTTACCTAAATTATACAAAAATACAGATTCAAAGGGGCACACGCACCCCAGCGTTTACAGCAGCGTTAGCAACAAGAGCCAAACTAGGGAGAGCACGCCCAGATGTCCACCGACGGATGAATGGATAAAGATGTTGGGGGGAGTGTGTGTGTGTGTGTGTGTGTGTGTGTAAACATATATGTATATATATAAATGGAATATTACTCAGCGATCAAAAAGAATGAAATCTTACCATTTACAGTGGCGTTGATGGAGTCAGAGTGTATTATTGTAAGTGAAATAAGTCAATCAGAGAAAGACAAATACTGTATGATTTCACTTATGGGGCATTTAAGAAACCAAACAGATGAACATAAGGGAAGGGATGGAAAAATAAAAGAAGATAAAAACAGAGAGGGAGGCAAACCATAAAACAGACTCTTGACTGTAGAGAACAAACTGAGGGCTGCTGGAGGGAGTGGGTGGGAGGTGGGCCTGATGGGTGATGGGCAATAAGTAGGACACTTGTGATCCAACACTGGGTGTTGTATGTAAGTGACGAATCAATAAATTCTACTCCTGAAACTAGTATTACACGATATAGAAAAATAAAGAAAAATTAAGAAAAACTTGAAACATTAAGTATTATATTTAGTAAGTGCTGTCAACTTCTTGTACTTGAAAAATATCTTATATGTTTAATAAAAAGTGTTTTACATTTCAAAAAAAGAAAAGGAAAAAGAAAATTAGTGACAAAGAATAAAGATCAAATTGGCACGCCCCCCACTAAACCAGCGGTACATGGCTTTACTGGTTTGCTTCACTGGTGAGAGTATAACTCCTCAAATTTGTTTACTTAATGCCATCTCTTTCATGGAAATTCCAAGATTTATACGGCCTCAGTTCATAAATGAAAGGAACTACAGTAAAAAGAACTATAGTAACTATATATAAGGTTACTATATAGTTACTATATATAAAATCACTATATAGTTATTATATATAAAGTTACTATATAGTTACTACATATAGTAACTAAAAAAAAGTATAGTAAAACAAAAAATTGCCAATATCCACTTCTTTGAGCAAAGTATTCTGTAAGGCTAACAATGACAATATTCCTGTAATAGCTTCCTGGGTTGCTCTGGAGACGGTGTTCAAGCAGTTGTGTCCTCACTTCCCTACTCAACATTGAGTAACGCAGAGAAAAAAATACATTCCTCTATGCTCACAGGTGCACTTAACTATGTGGAACGCAAAAGGGACCAATGTGAGACCTTGTGCAAGTAAAGGAGAATTATTACTTTTCTTTATTTGACAGAGAGAGAAGGGGGGAGAGAGAGCTTGACAGCACATGCAAGGAGAAGGTGCAGAGGGAGAAGTAGGCTCCCTGCTGAGCAGGGAGCCTGATGTGGGACTTGATCCCTGGACCCTGGGACCATGACCTGAACTGAAGAAAGATTCTCAACTGACTGAGCCACCCAGGTGTCCCCAAATAAAGGAGAATTAAAGAAGAATAAAGAGGGTGCCCATTCAGGTTTCTGTTCAAACCAGAGTATTTTCAGAGTGAAATGAGCTATTATTAGGTATTAAAATGAGATGCAATAAGGTATAAAGCAGGACTGAACTGGGCACACTGGGATATATGGGCAGCTTAGGTAGGGAGGAAGAAGAGGTACATCTGTATAAATTAATTTGTATATAAAACAAAAACAAAGTTCCCTGGACTACTGTTTGAATCATGAAGGAATCCAGTGGCTGAAAGCGTGCAACGTCAACGTTAAGTTTTAGACAACCAGCTGACAAAGTACTGAGTATTTACTCTTTTGCAGATCTCAAAAGGTTCTTACAGTTCTGGCACCAACTTTGGGGAGCTCTGCCTCTGGAAGGCAGAGATGGGAAAAACACTGTCCTTTGGTGTAGACGTGGCCGTCTTCATCGTAATCCGGCCGTCCTAGGGTCCTGGGAACCAGGCCACTCTGGAGAGGGGTCTACAGGTAGAGGCTTACCTCTGACCCACAGTAAGCATCCCCCACAGCATCCCCCATAGTAAGGACTTGATAAACATCCCACCCTGATGAACAGGGGCTGATAACAGGGTCTTGGTCCAGGCTTCCCCAGCTGGTCTGAGAGAGATGGCTGCCTACAGACTGCAGGCGAGAGCACAAGCCAGGACCTGGGAGGGGTGGCGGGCAGCCACCCTGCTCTTCCCCTGTGGCACAAGGTTCAATAGATGGTATTTGCAGGGGCTGAGGCTCAGAGAAAACATTAAATAAGTAAAAACCCCTGAGTCTTAGATGTTTGAACATGACAAAGGGCCGGCATTATCTAATTATACTGCCACAGCAATGTAAGAGCACATTTAATTATGGATGCAATTAACAACAAAAGCACCACTTCCCAGAAAGTTCCAACAGCCACTGGGTAAAGAGAGCTCATTTTGTAAAAGCATGTTTACCAATACTGCAATCATTGTTACCTTCACCTTAAAACTTTACCTAAGGGCACTTGTCTACTCTTCCCTCGGGTTATTATCTCAAGGGCTTGGAGACCATTTTGGAGCAACAGACTACCTCAGCTTCCAAAATCTTTCAGGCTGAACACAAACTGATCAACTTTTAAGAGCAGAACACGTCTCCCACATCCAAAGAACTGACTCAGTGGCAAGAGGAAGCCCTCGTGTATTAAATCAAACAGCACCAGGTAGACTTAACTTCCATTCATTTAGATACAAAACTTGTCACTAGGTACCCTGTATACTCTCCCACATTCAGACTGAGTCAAAGCAAATAATTTCGCTAAGAATCTGTCACCCCTCGCTTGTTAAAACCCACTGATCCATGGGGCGCCTTGGGGGCTGGCTCAGTTGGTTAAGCAACTGCCTTCGGCTCAGGTCATGATCCCGGAGTACCAGGATCAAGTCCCACATCGGGCTCCCGCTCTATGGGGAGTCTGCTTCTCCTCTCTCATGCTCTCTTTCACTGTCAATCTCTCTCAAATAAATAAATAAATAAATAAATAAATAAATCTTTTAAAACAAACAAACGAAAAAAAACCCACTGATCCTGCTTTACTTTGTGGCCCCCATTGGCCCTCTCCCACCCCCTCCCTACCCCCACCCTCACCCCGGAGTTCAGTGATAAGGAATTCAATGAGACCACAGAGATCTTATCAGAAAACATTCTACCAAAGGGCAGGAAGAGCCAAACTGACCATTAATTCTGCTTTCTGCTTCAACTTTTTGGCCTCCTTCATGTGAAAATCTGCTTGTTGTCTGAAAGAGAAGCAAAGACCAGGGTGGGTCAAAGGAACCTGGAATTAATAGACTGGACAAGATGACTGAAGACTAACAGGGTGAAAAAGGCTGGGAGAAGCCAGGGCAGAGGAGGGGGGAAGCTGAGAAGAGGCAGAGGAAACAGGAGGAAAGCAGCAGCAGGAAAAGCCAGGGTCTTACCTGTCAAGCTTCACCGGAGGCTTCCCTGGTTTAGAGTTACCATTTGGCAAAGAAGGCACTAGAAAAGGATATGCAGTATCTCCAGAAGACCCCTTTAAAAAAAAAAAAAAAATCATCATACAGGTCACACTCCAACAGTTAAAACCATTGACCTAAATATACCACCCCTCTAAATTAGCCCAAAATAGTAGCTTAAAAAAAGAGGAAATCAAGCACTGTACAATTTAGCTTAGCAAAGCATTTTCCTAGCTAGATTCAGCTGAAACTGTAGGTTCTGAATGTACTGAGGACCACAACGATATGAGACAAGAATGTCCAAAAGCCAAGATAACCAACAAACCTAATCATAACGTTTTCTCTTTGTCAACATGCACCCGCCCCCACCACCGCCCCTGCAGGTTGGCAGGAAATAAGGACCTTGTATTTGAGAAAGTGGATACTTTTTTCTCATTACGACCAATAATGTAAGTATTTGATACCAAGCATGCAAACCAAGAACTAAGCTGGGTAACATTTTTTTACTGCAAAACACCTGATAGGAAATTAACACAAAAATCTATTCCAATTTTTCACTCCTGAACCACTTTGTTAAGGAAGAATAAATAGCCTCTAAACTTACATGGAAAATTTACCATCTTTTTCACTCTCACAAGGAGAACTTTAACCACAAGTAACTCATTACTGCCTTATTAACAGGGATGAAGAGTCCTGAAATACCATCACGAGGAACCTCTCTTACTTGGGAACTTAAAGCTGTACTGATGGATAAGTTCCATAAATTCCAGCCACCATCCCCGCCCCCCCCCGCCCCCCGGCCCCGCCACCAACTTACTTTGTGCTCCTGACAGCTTCCAGATCCCTTCCCCTCTACTTTTCTGTGCTTGGGAGCAGAAGAGTCTTTGTGGCTGCCCTTGCTACTACTGGCACTTTGGGGAGGGTCCTGGCTGCAGGGGTCGGCTTCCCGCTTTGGCCTCTTTTGTGCAGGCTTGGCTGGCTTCTGGGAGGAGGAGGAAGAGGAAGAGGAAGAGGAGGATGACGCAGATGGGGGTGGAAGCGCTTCCTTCTTTGAGGGCTCAGAGGCGGGCCTGGATGTTCTGGAAGGAGACAGCATGCAAAATTAACAAGACAGAACACGAACCATATAACTTAGTAGTTTAGTTGTAAGAGAAAATGGCTGCTGACACCAAAAATTAAGAAATCATAGAGCACGAAATCCATTCTTGTAGAAAGGCCAAATTTCAGGGACTTTGGGTACCTCTGAGATATCTAGACCAATCTATGAATAATGGATTAAGTTGTATGGTTTGTCACTAAGCTCCCAGAGTCCACCACCCTACTCTCCCAAATTAGTCTTATTAGCTGCTCCCCAACCTGTACCTTTCTCTGACAAGCAGGCTAGCCCAGATGCCACCTCCTCTCTCCTCCTCCATCCTCCCCTCCCACAAATCTCTGTTGGCTCTCACCCAGTGACACTACGCACTTTCTTTTGCCAAGTCATTTCATGAAATGATTTCTTGAATAAACCAGAGAATGAATAACAGTTATTTTTTTATATTCACACCTTCCTGGAGCAACCCCCTGTCCTGTGGCCACCTTTCTCCAAAGCAAGGGACTTAGGGAATAGGCCTGGGCACCCTCGGTAATCGCCTGAAGAAAGAGCACTGAGCCCAGGCTCCCAGGGTTCAACTGCTAGCTCCAACTGTCAAGAATCTTGTGACTGTGAACAAGTCATTTTCTTTCTCCGTGCCTCTGCTTCCAGTTCTGCAAAGTAGGGATAATAATAATGGCACGCTTCTTGTTTTTGTGAAAAATTCTTTTAGAAAGAAATTACTTCCACATGTTCAGGAAATTTTCCACAGTTAAAATGTCTTTGAAAAACCTAAGTTTGGGCTCAACAAATTGTGATTTCGCAAAAGGTCCTCATGGATGAAAGCAACATGAAAACAGAGTGCATCACCAAAATGAGCCCAATGGTGCGCTGATCTGCTCCTACCGCATAGGAGAAATGTTTTTGCCTTCCAAGACCAAGGAAGACTCGATCACCTGTCGGGGCTATTGCTAATCTCTATACTCACTTTGTTTTAGAAGATTCTTTGTGGGAGGATGAAGATGATGACTGTGACTTGGTTTCTTTCTCCGGTCTGGCTTTCTTGCTATCAAGGTCTTTCTCTGCTTCAGCCTATTAGTGTATTATAACAAAGTACACTGTTAAAACACAGATGTACGGACAAAACAGAAAAGACTACACAGCAAAAGTAAAGAGAGTCACTGGACTTTCGGTGACACCTATACGCACACAGCAAACTTCTAAGTACCTATACTGTGTGTGTTTCAGGGGCCGGAGGGAAGTAGACAATCAAGATTTGGTAATTTGTACAGAGACAGATTTTCGCACAAGGAAGGAGTATTCTTCCCACCCAGAGAAGGGAGGATGTCTATGTCTAAGTAAGGGCTGACAACAGGAAGAGTACGTAATAGTTCGCATCACATCACTGACGTTTTTCTAAATAGAACAGGATCAATAAGGCATGCATATTCACAGCAAGTGACAACGGATGATTTTATGAGTAAGGACATCCCCCTTTCTTTCGAAATGACCATCCACTTATGCCCACTAATTTATTCTTTGTATAAAATTAGGAGTGGAGTACTTAAGGCTCACTTTTCATCTAATGAAAAACAAGAATACTGTTGAGAAAGAAACAGGGTTACAAAACCCTCTGTGTCTGTAACTTACAGAGAGGAACAGAAAGACATACAACAAAAAATGGTTACTTTGGGATTCTCTTTTTTCTCCTCCACTGACACAACTGTCTTCCTTCCTTTTTAAGAGACTTTCTATTTCTCCATACATATATGGGGACACGTGTTTCTACTTCTCAAAAAACTTGAAAAAATGAAGGGTAAGTATAATTTTAATGAGGGAAGAGTACAAGCAGAATTCTAATTCTACAGAGAGTCACATACCTCAGAAACATCTGTCTGCACCAAATAAAGTGCAAGCTAAATACACGCAATGATTAAGAGAACAAAGAACTCTTCCCGGCAGAAGTCCTTCTCCCTGGTCAACAAGCAGACCAGGTTCACGTAGACTCAGTGACTTCACAGCGGCTTCCTTCCCACAGAGCTGAGCTCACAGAAGCACTCCATGGGAAGAACAGCAAGTGACAATAAAGTGATTGCTGGGAGTCCTTCAATTAATTCTGATGCTCATTTAGAACTAAACTCCTCCAACTGTCAGTTCACCAAGAGAGAAATCTGGGACACCACCCAGTCAATCTAGGACAATCCCTAAAAAACCTGAAATCCTCTGTTAAACCCTTAGAGGAAAGAAAACATTCTTCACGTTAACCGATTGTGAGAGGCCCCGATTTCACCACCGTCTCTCCCTCATTGCCTAATTTCTCCAAGAAAAATGAATAAATTAAGATGGGTAGAGCTTACTAATAAGCAGCTTGGCCCCGCTCAAAGGAAAGGGACTGGGAAAACCATGCCGTTCCACCACCAGACATTCTGCAAACAAATGAGCCAGAGTGTGCCTGTCCATTCAGCCCTTTGGATCTCCTCTGGAAAAGCGTTTTATCTCTTGTTTCAAAATGGATCATTCAAGGTGACTTACAAAGGTACAGGTTCCTTGGTGTGTACACAAGTGAGACTAGGAAGAAGGGAAAATGTGGGGAGAGAAGAGAAATGAAATGCAAGGGAAGGCTTTCCCCTCCTCCAGGCTGATTCTGCATGGCCTACACATGGCCGCCAGACGGCCTCTAGACAGAATTTGGACATGGCTGGTCCAAAGTGACTAAGCTCAAAGACTCAGTGCACAAATGGGAAATGTAATTATTTTTATATTGATTAAATGTTGAAGTGGTGATGTTTTAGTTATACTGGATTAAATAAAAATTTAAAAATTATTTTCACTGTTTTTTTGCCTTTTTGTATTTTTAAATGTGGTTACTATAGAAAATTTAAAATCAGATATGTGGTGTACTTTGTATTCCTAGGAGACAGTGCTGTGCTACAGGTTTCTAGAGGCGATCTGCAAACTGGGCTCTGAACTTTCAATTAGCAACGCAAAGGAGGAATTATAAAATGTACAGGTTAGGGGTGCCTGGCTGGTTCAGTTGTTTAAGTGTCCGACTTTTGATTTCAGCTCAGGTCATGATCTTGGGGCTGCAGGATCGAGCCCCTGTGTTGGGCTCTGTGCTCAGCAGGGAGTCTGCTTGAAATTCTCTCTCCCTCTGCCCCTCCCCTTGCTCTAACTTACAGATTAGATAACAACAGAAATATGCTCAGAAATATAACCATTTATTACAGAAGACTGGAGAAAAAGCACCCTGGGGGACCCTAGTAAGGAGAGAATGTGACGTAAATAAACAGGCACGTCTTAAAGGCATAGCTGAAAGGGGAGAGGGAATTTCACACAGTTGTTTCTCTCGTAGCCTTCAGCAAGGAAGTTGGGGCCAGCAGCAGAATTCTGGAGCACAATTCAGAAGAAATGAAAGGCGCTGGCACATGCCAGGAGAAGCCTCCTGGGGTTCCACACAGCACACAGATGCCCATCCAACAATTCGTAATGGTGACCCCTGAGAGACCATCAAGTCTGGCAGAGAAGAGAGAGTAATCTGGAAATGACTGGGTTAAGATAGAACCTTACTATTCTCCTTGTCAGTTAAGAACCTACTGTGCCCAAGAGTGTCTGCCACCGGTGAGCCCACTAAATTCCCCTCCGTTTTAGATTAAGGGCTGGGAAGCTGGCCCAGCAACCAGTGCGAGAAGATGGGGGATTTCTCTCTGGGCAAAGTCACAGATTTGCTGAACTATCCACACAGACATTAACTTGTACACGTGGTAGTTAGCAATATATACTTTTTCCAGTGGAAGGTAATTAATGACACATAGGATAAGTCCCCACGGGAAAACTAGGCATAAACTGTCCACAAGGTTACTTCCTCAAAGGTTACTTCCTTAAAACACACACACACACACACACACAAACACAAAACCCAAAAAACAAAAAACCCCACCAAACCCCAGAGGTGGAATGAGAGTCCATTTTTGTTTGTCTACCTTCACACTGCTTAGGGCATGCAGGTTAGGACCATAAACCAAAGTGGCAGACCTTAGACACCACACATGAGTATAAGCCTGTCACAGGGAGTCAGCCCTCACGAACTGGACACACCCCTAGCTTGTACCAATCAGTGACTTAAGAGAACAGCCACAAAACCCCCAAGAAATCACCAAACACAAACGCTGACACTAACACGAAACGCCCGTGATGGCGCTGACTGGAGTACTATGCTCACAGCACTAACAGGCAGCGCTGACAAACCATCACATTCTGTAAGCTGGGAGAAAGTAAGCCATTCAACCCAATGAGCAACATTCCCCTCGTGATGGCCCTTGTCTGCCTGACCTCAAGCCTGGGGGCCTAAGGTGAGGGTCTCTGTACACTGTGCACTTGAAACGCCATCATCTGCTGTCTGGAACAGTCACAGAGGCTTCCGTGGAGTAAGCATGTGTGCAGTGGCACAGAAAGTAAGGTGAGTGGCTGAGGTGCCCAGGAGCAGGCCCAGTGCTACAACTCTAAGCGGCTGGATTCAGGAAAGGGCCCTGAAACAGCACGCCAAGCAGTACTGAGCGGCGAGAAACGCAGTCTTGAATTCCGAGGCTGAAAAGCAGGAGGCAAGGTGTTCTTCAGATGTTTCTGGGACAAGCAGCCTTTTGAAGATGAGACCAGAGTGATGTACTCTCTCTTCAAGAAGACAAAGAAGTCTCCTGCGCCCTGTGGGTTAGCCACAGACCAAGCCCCATTCCAGGGAACCCTGTGTCTGCTCTGGGCTTTGGGCTTCCCTTTGTCTAGAGGGATAAGCCTATCGACAGCGTCTGCATCTGCAACAGAGGGAGGCTGGGGGCTGGTGACTGGTTCCTAACTGACGTGTTTTCTTTTCTTAACCTGTGGGTCAGGTGTCCAAGGATTACCTGCCTGAGAGGCTGCCCCACCCGCAGAGTCGCAGTCAAGTCCCAAGACCATAAAAGGAAGAGCTGGGGCTGTGCTGGGCCGGGTTGGCTGCCAGAGAGTTCCTGCAGGGCATCCGCAGGCCTGCCCCAGCATCTAGCTCACCGTCCAAGTACCCACAGGTAGCAAAGGGAAAGCGAAAGCAGCTTTTCCAAAATGGACACTCATTTTAGGCCACAGAGTTTCTACCAGGAGCTTAGCTACAACAGAGCCAAGGAGCATCTAAAAGGGAAACAGATGTAGAAGGTAGAGGGGCTTGGGGGTGGGGACGCAGCACACTAGAGTGGCAGGAATGGGGACAGCAGAGGGACTGAGCCAGGATGACACTCTATCAGAGTCAGGATACCACCAATCTCGAACCTCTCTCCAATAATCCCCCCAAGAAGACGCTTGGCCACCAAAAAAAGAGAAAGAAACCAACCATCGTGTGTGAAAGAGAAGAACATCGCTAGACCACAGGAGCCAGTGCAAGCTCCAGACCTACTTTTGCTAAGCAGCCAAGTGATGTTAGCGCCTTCCAGGATCCCATTTAGAAAAGGGAACAGTTCAACTAGTGACCTATAGGATCTTAGCGCTCAAAACTCTACGACCGTTGTCTGCCTCATGGAAGCAAGCGGGCTTGGTAGCACCCGGGGACAGGAAAAGCGGAGAAGCAGCCTTCTGGGAAACTCGGGGTGTGCCTGTGCAGGGGGTTCACTAAGACAATGACACAGCGGACATCAGGTCCGATCAGCACCAAGAACGAGGGCAGGGATTGAGAAGACAGATCACAGTCACTAGGATAAATACTACAAAAAAGGAAAAATAATGCGCTTTCCCCCTTCTTCTTGGTGAGGAAATACACAAGCATAAAGATCGGTTTAAAACAGCCTCCGCAGGGGTGTCTGAGTGGCTCAGTCGTTAAGGGTCTTGCCTCTGGCTCAGGTCCTGATCCCGGAGTCCTGGGATAGAGCCCCGCATCAGACACGCCCGCTTCTCCCTCCCCCAGTCCCTCTGCTTGTGTTCCCTCTCTCACGATGCCTCTGTCAAATAAATAAATAAAATCTTTAAATAAATAAATAAAATACAACCTTGGCTACCGTCTCATACAGTTATGATGCTCTTCTTAGGGCAATTAACAAGGCATGAAGAAATCAGACATCAGTGACTTTAGGAAACTGTAAGGCATGACTTTTCAAACCCTCGATTTTGAAGAAGACTAACGGGAAATGTTGGTCTGAATAAACCATCAAGGAAAGACAGTCAGACCCTGGATACAAGGAAGGGATTGAATGATCTGCAAGCAACAGAAACAGTTTCCCACGACATCCCAGAACTTCCTCTTCCCATTCCCCAAAACTGACATAAATGATAGCTCCGAAATGTTACTTCCAAAAATGCCAAAGCTTCTGGTCAGAGAAGCAGTTATTTTGAAAAACGAAAAGGCAGACTTGAATGAATATACCTCCTTGTTCGGATATCTGTCTACACAATGGTTAGGACGGTCTGGCATTTTATTTGAGAGGCGATCCAGACAAGGACTGAAATTAAATGAGGTATTACAGGGACATCTGGGAGGCCTAGCCGGTAAAGCGCCTTCAGCTCAAGTCATGACCTCAGGGTAGTGTGAAATCAATTGCTTTATCTGGATCCTTGCTCACTGGGGAGCCTGCTTCCACTTCTGCCTCCCGTTCTGCCTGCCTGTGCTCGCTCTTGCTCTTTCTCTGTCAAATAAAATCTTAAAAAAAAAAAAAAAAAAGAGAGAGAGAGAGAGAGAGAGATCTACAAAATGCCTAGAACGCTTAACCCGCACACGGAGCGCCATGCATGTTAGGCGTACTGTTAGAATGCTCTTGACTGCACTGGGCTGACTGTTTATTCTACTGTACCTCTGGACTTCCATTTGTCCTCACGGCCTGGGAAACGTAAGCATGGTTTACAAACTGTAGAAATGAAAACACAAGTTGTATTTGAAGTTCTAAACTGTAAGCTAGATGAGGAAATTTGTGGTTTTTGTAGGGAGCACTACATCAAGTCACGCCTATTTTCTCCCACAGTTTTCTCCATTTTTCGTCATGAACTGCCCCCTGCCCAGTCCTTTAAAGGAGTAAATACTTTTCTGCAGAGGCCATGGCTGACAGCTTCATCAGAGCTGCTTTTACCCACCATTACGTCCTTAGGGTGATCTTCTGCTTTTAAGTCTAAAGTGGCTTCAAGGATCTGTTAACCTCCCCAAAATTTGTGCTACACTTTGCACCACGAAAGGAAGAGACAGGATTTAAGCGAAAAACTAAAGTTCGGGGGCGGGGGGGGGGGGGTGCCTGGCTGCCTCAGTCAGTAGAGCATGTGACTCAGTCTCACGGTGATGAGTTTGAACACATGACGGGCATGGAGTCTACTGAAAAATTAAAAAAGAAAATAGAGAAGAAAAAATTTCACTAATGTGAACGATCAGGCACATTCTTCAACTGCTCAGAGAGTTTTCCAGTGTTCACACTTAAAATGAAAGCCATGAACGAACCGTCACCATCCACATTTGCAGCAAAGCGCTGAGGCTTGAACAGAGACCACACCTGCCTGCCTCGGGGCCCAGGCACACATGCTGGGAGAGGCAGGCGCTCTGTGGGAAGGCCTGAACAGTGGGAGCCAGGGACTCGACAGGAAACGGGGGAGCCCACCCACTCCGGGAAGGAGCTCAGGTTCATACTCCCAATATTCATAATACCTGGAACCCAGCAGAATAAAACCAAAAGACCATGATTCTCTGATCACGAAATAAGTACACAGTTGGATTATTTTCAAATCAATTTATGAGACAGCTTCTAACTAGTGACATACTTTAGGCAAGGAATTCCTCACTGCCTAGATCCATGATGTCGAAGGAGCCCACTGGAGGAAACTCTCGGTCCAAAGAACCAGCTTCGTACAATCCCAGCCCTGCTGTACGGCTCTGCTCCAGCAGTTCCCGGCTCTGCCAGACATCAGGATTCAAAAAACACCAATGAAGGGGGCAAGGGAGGGGGTGCAAACCCCGCTGGTGGCCATAAAGGCTCCCGGGGTGACCGTAACGTGTAGCCAGCGTCTGGAACAGACCAGTCTGGTTCAGACCCCGATCCTGCCGGTATCACAGTGGAGGGGCAAAACAGTTCCCAGGGGCAGATCTCTGCTGCCTGCCAAAGCATTCAAGAAAGCATATATCTGACTCAGCTGAGAGTCATTATTTCTCCATCCTCTAGACAGAGAGCTAAGTGAGCTGCCCTAGTGGAGCAAGGCCAAGGGCTGGGAACAGCTCTTTAGAGGGCACGACTCACATACTCAACAGGGAGAGCTAAGGCTCCCATTCCAGAGCTGCAAGCAATGCTTCTAGATTTGCACAGGGGTATGGACTGGGATGAGAACTGTCTGTGGAAGCCTCCAATTTCTAACATTCCCAATTAGTACGTATTTTAGAAGCAAATACTTTGCCCCACTCCAGCTAATGCAGAAGGCTCACTAGAGACTAGGTAAGACCATGACGGCTGGGAGATGAATGATAAAAAGATATCCCAGGAGGAAGGGGAGGTAATGGAGTGCCTTCTTAAAAAATATTTATTTTAGAGCAAGCGAGCAAGAGAGAGTATGCACAGGGGGAGGGGCAGAGGCAAAAAAAACCTTCAAGCAGACTCCCCGCTGAGCACGCAGTCTGATGCAGGGCTTGATCCCATGACCCACGAGACCATGATCTAAGCCAAAACCAAGAGTAAGAGGCTTTAACCGGCTGCGCCACCAGGTACCTCCAAGGAGAGTACTTTTGAACCTTTCTTGGGAATATGAGATGTAGGGACCTTTTTCCTAGCCAGGCCCATCACAATTTCATCCAGAAAGTTTTACACTTTTAACACACACCCAGACCGTCTTAAACGTTATCCAACATGGGAATACGCCCTCTTCCAGCTCAAACAGCATTGAGCAGAACCGCATCCGACCCAGCTTGAGCTGTCGTCTGCAGTTACGGTGGTTAACAGACACCCTCGCGTCTCATTCAACAAGCTTCTGGAAAAAACAGTCGCCCTTTGCCATTTGATAAAGTCATGTTATATTTTTAACCTAGTAGAGTAACTGGTCGAATCACAGACAGGACAGCAGGCTTCATGATCTTTCTGTCCTTTGTTATTCTTAGCTCAACTTCCAGGACTGAGTAAGAAGTTTTTTTGTGTACTTAGAAGAGTGTTAAAAAAATTTTTAACCCTTGTCAGCAGGAAAGAGTTGGCTCTTCTTGCGCCTTTCACTCTGAATCTTGAACAAATTTGGAAAGAATGCCACTGGAGGAAAAAGTCACTTATCTTTTGCCATGAAGCACCAGCAACAGTGTATCAGGAGCTCAGTGATTCAAGATCTAGGGAGGAAGGAAGGAGTCTGTCCAAAACAGTGGTGTGTCCAAGTTAACTCTGGATCTTAAGTGGTGTATGAATGGTTTTTGTTTTTTTAAAGATTTTATTTATTTATTTAACAGAGAGAGAAAGAGAGAACATAAGCAGGGAGAGCGGAAGAGGGAGAAGCAGACTTCCCGATGACCAGGGAGCCCGAGGTGGAGCTCAATCCCAGGACCCTAGGGATCATGACCTGAGCCAAAGGAAGACGCTTCACCAACTGAGCCACCCAGGTGCCCCATGAATGTTTCTCTTTCCCCATTTTGTTTGTTCTTTAAATGAAATTTCCAAAAATTGTGGTAACAAAATGACAGATTTTCAATACCTCATAATATACCATTATCAGTCCTGTTTATTACTCCACAAGGTATCCTAACCATGTGTTTAATAGCTCTATAACTTTTTAAAATAATGTTCTGCTTATGAATAAAAGCCTTTTATAGAGGTCACAAATTCTAAATCTGGTGGTTTCAAATTAATGAGGTGCTAGGCAGCCATGAGTTAAAACATAGATGTAGTACCGGTATTAAAATGGATCAGACCACAGGAGTAAAACTGGCATATAGCAGTTCTTTCAGTAATTCAGAACACTGATTAACATTTCAGTTCATGGAAGATATGCATTTCTAGGGCAAAACTTAATAATGGGTTGGGTGGTAAATACCAATGTTATCATAAAAAAGGTGTACCCCAAAATGCTACATTATCCTCTAACAAGATATCCTTTTCCATGCCTGCCTCACTTTTTCTCAAACTAGCAAAACTGCTGAAGGGATCTAGCATTTGCTACTGCTTGGCGGCAAAGTGGGAAGCCTGTAGGTCCACAGTGACAGGGTCATTCTGGTGTAGGAGCAAAGGCTACATGAGATCAGAGCAAAGATTTCCCTCCTGTCCTAAAACAACTCAGGGCTCACAGCCAGCCCCAGGCCAACAGCAGGTACAATCCACCCGCTTCACTCACCTTTCTTTTTTTGGCCAACTTGCTTGAATTGTCTGCGCCTCTCTTCTCCGACTCCAGCTTCTTCCCTGCGGGGGGCTGCTTGTCCTCGGGTTTCCTCAGACGGCCCCCCTTGGCAGGAAGCTGGGGTATCCGAGAAAGAAGGTCCAGGGTTATCTTCACCATCAAGATTGGTGGGGGAGGAGTGTCCCTGAGTGGGGACAGCAGCTTGGGGTCTCTCCCAGGTCCTGGGAGCTTGTCCTTCCTGCGGTCCTCCTGGACGACCACAGCGCGCCGGCAGCCACTAGTCCTGCCGCTGCTGCCACCGCCACCGCTGCCATGAGGCGGGCCCTGGCTTTGCGTCAGGGGAACCAGGGCAAAGTGCTCGGGGCTCCTGGCCCCCGCATTGTCCTTCGTGGGCTCCGGGCCCGAGAGTGCCTTTGAGGGGGCCAGCGGCCCGCTCCTGTGCTTCTTGCGCTCGCTGGGGCTGGGCGCCGCGGACTTGGGCTCTCTGCTGTCTCCGGCACGGGGCCTCCCTTTCGTCTTCACCTTGGGCTTGTCTTTGGAAGGCTGGTCTTTGGAGCCATATGGAGGGGGTCCTGGCTCACTTTCCACCTGCAGGCCGGCCCGTAGGTCTGCCTGGGCCGAGGCCTTGACAGGCTTCTTGGGTTGTTTGGTTCCAACGGTCTGCCTCTGCAGGGGCTCCTGCTGCGCGGGGGACTTCTGACAGCTTCTCTTGCCGGTGTGGGGGCCTTCAGAGGAGCCCCGAGGGGCTTTGCTGGAGGTTTTGAGGGGAGGATCTTTGGATTCCGTGCGCTCCTGACCGTGACTGGCGGTGGGGCCGCTGCTGTCGCCCCCACCCTTGCCCTTACTGTCCGGGTGCCGAGACGGGGGCTCTGCGTTCCCCTGCGCGTCTGGGGGCACTGTGGGCTGGCTGACTTTGGTCAGCCAGTTGTCCAGCTGCCATTTGTTCGTTGTGGGAGGCTCAGGCTAAAAACAAAGGACAAGAGAAAAATGTGAACTGACCAAGGATGATAAGCTCTTCTGTGTTAGTCAACCAATTGTACAGGACTCCCCCAGGGAGATGCAACCCATTCCCAAACCTAAGAATTCGGTCCTTTTTAATCCTTCTCTCAATTACAGGTCAGAGTCTCTTAATAATTAACTCTTAACACAATCTTCCAATCTGTTTGTACTACATGAATTTTTGTTGTAGCAGATGCTGACTAATGACAGACCATGAGGTACAAACCACTGACCACTGCTGAGAAATCTTTGTAATATTAAGTATTTTGTTTTCATGGTAATTACAGTGCGATTTAGACAGAATTAACACATTTTGGCCTGTAAACAATCAGAAAATAAAGGGAGAAATAAAGAATGAACAGAATCCTTTTATCAAAAGGATTTTCAGAAGGCTAATGAATAAATTAATTCTTAGTGATTACCTACAGGCTTTATTCTGTTTTCTGAGACACTTTTCAATTGAAAATGACCTTCCTCAAGACTTGATTTCATCTCTTTACTTAAAAACATTCAACATTCATACATGACAAGGCTGGCAGTATATCACGGATTATAGCCTGACTTTCAAATTTTCACCCTGGTAAAAGAACAAGTGAAGTCATGTTAACCCACTAAATTGGTCCCTAACTTCAGTCCCACTTGAATTCTTTAAAAATCAAACATTAAGTCTCTTGTTAGGGACAATCTTATCTGAATAGCATCTGCTTTTCTGAGAAACACAGGGAGGCTCCAGAGCACACAATTAAAGCGGTGAGATTAGACTGATGATATGTACATCTGATCCGAGGAATAAACAGAGTTCCCGACTTCTGGTATCTTAACTGTTGTTTAAATCTTTGCTGCTGACTGACTACTGATGAATCCCAACATGTCTCTCTAAGTAGATTATTAACAGCAGACCCGAGGACATTTGGATCTCCAAGTTCTACTCTATGTCTTGCACATAGTGGTGGACGTGAGATATTTACTTGAGCATTTCCACGGGCATATTATTGTCTGTACACATCTTACGCCATATGGAAATAAATTCGCATCTAAAAGGGTGGGCAATGATTACACCTTTTGAAAGGGCAGTACATCACCGACATGCTACATGTTTCTAAGACCCATTCATTCTGATGGGTGGTTTGTATGAATCATATACATAGCGCACCAGGATGTTAACTGAAAGATATTCCACGTGGAATCTACCTGGTGAGATGACAGATAAAGGAGATCACTGCAGTAGGTGGACGGTATTTTACAGGGAGAGACTGCTAACAATTTTCCTGAGTGGAACGTCCCAAACAATTGAACTCTGTAAGAACACAACAACCTAGTACAGCGAGACATGCGGATATATTGTAAATAGCTAGGAAGAAGTTACGTTAAAAAATGATCAGGTAGGTATTTCCTCGGTTTGGTATGATTACAACAGAAGAGGAACTTTAAGGAACCAGGTATGACTAAACTTTGGCCACAAAGAGGGCTGCAGAACTGTTTTTTCTGCCTGCCCCTTACTGCTGCTTAATCTAATAGATCTCCTTCAGTATCAACGCTACACCCAGGCTCTCATTTGAATTTCAGAGCAGGGAGGAGGGAAGAAGGAAAGTGCTCTAGAGCGCCAGGCATTTATTTTGCCACAGGAAATCTAAAACTGTATTCCATATTCTGAAAAGACAGGAGGACGGTGAAGGGTGGAGAAAAAGATCAGCACCCAATACCTACTTGTCAGACAGTTATTTCCTGCAAACACTTTAGGGGGTGGTAATCCGGGCGGCTAACTGGGGACAAGGCATTAGGATATATATCCCTTGCCGCTCACCTTAGGAACTGAACCCTTCAAACTCTGTCTTGGGAGGGGTGCGGCTCTCCCACCTGGGCTGAGTTCACAGCCCACTGGAATCACTGACACGCTCTACAGGAGAGGATTTATTCATGAACCAAAAAGGAAAGTCATTCCTGGTATAGATAACATCTGCTCTCCCCCCACCCCAAAACAGGGCAATATAAGATACATTTAGTAGGAATGTCCTACTAAAGGAATGTCCTGATTACAGAAATAAAACACATTTTCTTCTACCATGGTCCTAAAAATGTCCAGAAGGGAGGCATATGGCCCAAATGCAGGGTAAAATTGAGTCTATGTACCCAGACAAGGACAAAGGGTAAGGCCAATCCTTTCTACAGACCTGCTATGGAGACGGGAAAATGTACAGAATTCTTTTAAGGTCAGATATTTGGATGTTGGGAATGGGAAAAACTTTAACATAAGGGATCGACTGAAACGGATTTCACAATGAATTTTAAGTCTAAGTGCTGGGTAGGATCAAGGTTTGGCCTTTGCTTTCTTGTCCTGCCTTTCCTTGTGCCCCACCGCCAGCCTCCCAGGGCTGGCACAACCCAAATACTGCACACTGGGCGTGAAAAAATACCGGACTGGTTTTCATTTGGCGCCTTCATAAACGTCTGTCTGTCCCTTTACGTCTCCTAACTCTTCAAACTGTCAGAAGTTTGTGTATTTTAGGATGAATTGTAATGCCGAATAAAAAGTTTTGAGGTATACGCAAATATGCCCTTTTTATTATTTTTAGTAAAAACATCATCATTATTAGTGAGTAGGAGTCCTAAAATGAAAGGAAAAGAAAAAGGAGAAAAGTGTGAGAGAGGCCTGCTGTCATAGTAAAAAAGACCTCAGAGTTAGATGGCCATGGGCCTGAATCTTGGTGTCGCTACCTTTTCACAGGGAAAAGACAGCTCCCCATCTCACAGGGTGGACAGAGAGCTAAGACAAATAATTCATGAAAAAGTACCAAGTGTCTAGGAGGCAAATCAAAGGCAGTTTACTACAAAAACAAACAAAGAAACAAAAAAACTGGACAATGAATAGATTAGAAAACTAAGGAGATCCTCCTTGAATAACTAAGAATAAAAGCATTTTTTCTGAACCGAAGCAATAAAAAGACTACGGCTTGTCCATCCTACATATTCTGAAAAGCTGAGATTTACATTTTGATTCACACTATAAAGCAGACACTGAAAGTGGCTTTCCCCCAAGTTCGCCGTCAGCCCATTGACAGACATAGGACATTTGAGATCTCATAAGATCACTGGACTACTTTGTCAAATGAACTTAAAATGGAGCCATAAAAAGCAAATTCTCAGTGTTAAAACCAGATTTTTAAAAGGGTGAGAAAGTTAAAACAAGTAACTGTGGCCTATTGTGGAATTCATGTTACTCTCACACAGATTTACAAAAAGGCAGGTATTCCTTTTCAAGGCAGAGAAGGTAGTTAAATACACTGGAAAAAATCAAAGACCCAGACTAAGTATTTCTGGTGAAGTCAAGTGTCAGGATATGACATACAAACTGTGCCCCAAATCTAGACAGATCTGGTCACCAACACAAAGGTACAAATAGGTGCGTCTTTGGTAAGGTGCTTTAAAAAAATAAAGTAGGATGGGAACATTTATTTTTCAACTAAGAGTCTCTAAATCTACTCCAGTAACCTTCTGAGCAATAAGATACAATGGTTTCAAAAAAAGATACAATGGTTTCATTAATACAAACACCAGATTAAATTTTTCTTTCAAGTTTCAATTATTCAGCCAAGTCTGTACCATTTCCATTTTATTTCAACTAAATTTTATTATTTAATCTAATTCTCTTCCTTCTTTTATCAACCAAACAAGCATGCAGATTTCTCTAATTGAATAAGGTGAGACATAAAGCAAAGATCTTATAAACAAGGAAGAATCACACAATTTGTCTGCAAAGCCTAATCAGTATCTTTTTCCCTGAGGCACAGAAAAATGATTTCAACAGTAATTAGTATCACGCAAGGAAACATTCCCCAGAAGTACAGAGAGTAGTGTCCAAAATCTGAAAGGCATTTTAAATGCAGTTAATGCTGATTCATGTTTATTCACGCCAAAAAATATTTATTGAGCACTTACTCTGTGTCAGACATAAATTCGTATCTAAGAAAAAAATGACAGTTATTTTTCCAGCCTCCCTTGCCCTCGGCCCGGGCTGTTAAGCTCACTATGTGTTCTCCAGATGCATTCAGTTAATGCTCTAGTGGAACTGCCTTGATTGCTGCAAGGCAGAGACAAACACCGGGAACTTTTAATGCTTTCTTAATCAGAAAGGCTCTTTCCCAGGATTCCCATCTAAAATATGCAGATTAATTTTCTCTATACAAGCTGGTCTAGCTCACCAAGAATGTCTTTCTTCCCTTTTCATGCTGGAAGACTACTGGAAGTACTGGAAGTAGTCTTCCCCAGCATAATTTTTACATGGCTACTCCAAGTTTTGAGGGCATCTGGCAGCCCAGATTGTTATTAAACTTCTTGTGTTCAGCGATCCATTAAAAAAAATAGAATAGTATAAATCCTCCAGATAAACTTAGTGCTGGCGATTTGCCGTCTCATCAGTTTATCTTACAGAATCTCCCAAGGGTGGGTGACAGGCAAACACAATTATCCCTGTTTCACATGGAGCAAAGGAAGCAAGAAACAGCCCTGGCAAAACCACTTGGCCATCCATTTAATGCATGGCTTTTAGTGATTCAAAAATAGAACCTCTGATGACTTATTCTAGTTCACGTTCCTGCCATCTGCTAAACTGGGCTGCCTCCTTTTGATTTCCTTAATTCATGCATTCCTGAAATTTCAAAAAGAATTTTCATTAACATTAAAACAGCCGCCTACTAAAAAAACGAGTTCTCTTTTTCAAAAGAAGGGAAAAGAAAATGGTGTGCAAACATTCTTAATGAGTTGCTCTTCCCAACAACGCTAGCAACAACAGAGAAGAACTTATTTTAAACAGGAGAGAGAAGACCGCTCTCCCAAATCTCTCGTGGCGAATGTCTGGTAAGAAGTCAACGGAAACGGCGGACTCTACGCAGCACGGGAGTCGGAAACAGCCGTCCCAGGGGGCAGCACCACTCAGCCCGGGGTCAGCACTGGCCCACAGCAGACTCTAGCCCCGAAAGACAGGACGCCGCCATCTTAGATGGCCTCTCTGCCTCTTGGAGGGGACACGGTACCTCAGGAGCCGGAGTTTCTAGGGGCTCATTCTCTTCGCTGTCACTTGAGCTGCTCTCACTCTCCGAGTCCGAGGAGCTGTCTGAGTCACTGGTGCTCTCTGACTCGGCACTGCTGGAATGTGCTGAGGCCGCTGCTGCTGGAAGCGACTGCGGGGCACTGCGAAGCAACCCAGACAGAGAGTCTGAAGACACCTCACAAGGTGGATGTTTTCCTGCTCTACGTATTTCCCCTCTTGGCCACTTTGTTGCTACTCAAAAGAAAGGGCCTCAATATTACCTAATATTACTAAATCAACCATACCACCCAGTTCAGAGAAAGGCCCAGAGGGGCTCAAAAACCAGTGAAAAATCCTTAAAATAGCTCACCAAAGAATTACATAAAAGAGAAGCCTGTGGAATTTTGCTCCTCAAGAACATTTTGAGCCACAAAATTTACATTTGATGGTTTACCAAATTCTATGAGAATTTGGTAAACCACAGCATGGACAGGCCGCCTATTTTTCTAAGTAAAGTTTTGTTGGAACATGTCCACTCCCATTATTTTACATATTCTCTCTGTCTGCCTTTATACCCTGGAAGCAGAGTTGAAGAGTTTCCAGACAGGCTAGACGGCCCACAAAGCCTAAAATACTTACTTTCTGACCCTTTAAGTTTACTTTAAGTGGGTATATATTAGCCCAAAGAAGTTAATTTACCAAAGAAGAACAAAAACATTAAAATCTCCCTCTATTCTCTATATGAAAACTACCCAAATGGTAACCAAAGAATATTGAATATACTGAATATAAATGGGTGTTCCTCTAGACAGTGACCTCAAAGGTCATCCAGTCACACTCTTGGGTAGGATGATAAAAGAGGCCTTTCTTTAGAACTGGCTTAGCATCACCCCCCAAATACCACCCACAGCAGAGATTAACTACTCCAGTTTTAAGAATAGGGCAATCAGGGCATGTGGGTGGCTCAGATGGCTAAGTGTCTGCCTTTGGCTCAGGTCATGATTCCCAGCTCCTGGGATCGAGTCTTATGTCTGGCTCCCAGCTCAGCGAGAAATCTACTTCTCCCTCTCCCTCTGCCTCTCCCCTCTGCTTGTGCTGTCTCAAATGAATAAATAAAATCTCAAAAAAAAAAAAAAAAGGGAAGAAGAAGAAGAAGAAGAAGAAGGCGGCAATAATTCTAGGTCAGTGAGAAAACACACAATGACCGCACTCCTGGAGACACACACAGAATTTCACAGCCCGTCTTAAAAACTTGCCCTGGATGGAATTAGCCACAGCAATAAATCAATAACTGAAATCTTGAAAGCCTCCACATCTACCTAAAATATGAAATAACTTACTAAATGAAATTGTTTATTAAAATAAGTAGAAAAAAATATTACATAAAAGTCACTAGTTGAAGTAATTTTAAAACACACACACTATGCTATGATGTAATTTCCGCATATAAAAACGTTACATCGAGCTTGTGATCCCTTTCACACTGGTAGCTTAAGTCGGTGATGACTGGAATGAGATGCACTCTCAATGTTATTCCTGCTTCTAATTTATGGCCACCTTTTCTTTTTTCTTTTCTGTCACTTTCAAGTTAGGCTGTTTTGTCATAATTTACAGGACCTTAAAAGCTACCAGAAATTACTGAACAGAATATAAACAAATGAGCAGAGCTTATGAATATACGATCTTCCTCCACATGAACTATCACATCGCCTGTTCGACAGGAAGAGTTTATTGTTGTGCTTGTCTCAGAATGCATGACCTCATCTCACCAAGTACAACAGCTACTGCTTTTTGTTTAACTCTTTTGTTTAACTCTTTGTCCGTGGAAGGCAGGTAATGGAATATTAAATCATTAAATTCAGTACCAGAGGAAAATATTATAAAGGTAGTTCAGATAACTCCCCATTTCCAAAAACTAAAGCATCTTATTTTCTGAAATATGGCTGCTGTTTACAAAGTGAAAAGAATGCCATTTTTCATCACACTAACATGCATTCTAGCTCATTTTTAAAAGCAGCTGAGGGGCACCTAGCTGGGCTCCATCGGTAGAGCATGGAACTCCTGATCTCGGGGTTGTGGGTTCAAGTCCCATGTTCAGTATAGAGATTACTTAAAATCTATTTATAAAATCAATTAAAATAAAATGAAAGTAGCTGAAACAATTAGAAATTCATGACTGAGAAAACAGGCACTATAGAAAAGAATTTACAGAAATGATTCAGCTTTATGATTTTTGAAAACAGCAAATAAATCTTCCATAAAAACTCTCATAAAAACATTGGGCTCTTTAGCATAACCTTTAAAATACTGGTTATATAATACTGATGAAAGTGATTTCAGCTTATTTTTAAACTCTCAAAAAAATTATTTTAATTAAAGATTTTATTTATTTTATTTGACCAAGAGAGGGAGCGCATGCACAAAGAGAGGGGGAGCACCAGAGGGAGAGGGAGAAGCAGACTCCCTACTGAGCAGGGAGCTGATGTGAGGCTGACATGGGCTCTGTCCCAGGACCGTGGAATCATGACCTGAGCTGAAGGCAGACGCTTAACTGACAGAGCCACCCAGGCGCCCCCAAAATTTTATTTATTTTTAAAGATTTTATTTATTTACTTGAGAGAGTGAGAGAGAATGAGCACAAGCAAAGGGAGAGGCAGACCTCCACTGAGCAGGGAGCCTGATGCGGGACTTGATCCCAGGATCCCAAGATCCTGACCTGAGCTGAAGGCAGACACTCAACCTACTGGGTCACCCAGGCGCCCCATAAACTCTCAAAAATTTTAAACATCTAAACTGATGTTTTAGGTGTGTACAAGGACTTTCTCTTTTATAGCATTAACAACCTCTCCAGGCTGACTGGAGCTTCCAAAAAATTTAGAGCTTCCAAAAAATTAAATAGGTACTTTCTTCTAACTGTGATCCTTCATGTCCTTCCCCAGGATGAAGCTATGAAAGCACTAAATAGGGCTGTATTTCCTTCGTTTGGTAGAAAAGGCAAACACTATGCTCGCACACGCACACGATACCTTGGAGGTGCAGATGCAGGAGGAGGCTTCTCTGGGCTCTAGGAATTTACAATAAGGGGAAGGAGGACCAAGAAAAGAACAAACAACAGGTTAGGATACGCAGCTCAGAAATACCAGATTTAAAAGGATTCCTGGTTATGTTGGGGTGTACAAAACTTACTTGTTCGTTGTCACTGTCCTCACTGTCACTGAGCTGAAGGTCATCTTCAAGCATGCTGAAATGGGCAGGGACAGAGACATTGTGGGATTTAAAATATTTCTAGAAACTTGTTTCAGCATACAAATAGAAAATATGCTTAATGATTAAAACAAGAGGGATGGGATAGGTCTAATTTTAATTTATTCATCAAATGCTTCATTTCCCTGGAAATGCAAGTTTTACTACTAGAACACAGAAACGCATTTAGTCCATGCTCCTTACCACCTCAAGACTGACTCTGACACGTTCTGAGCATTAAAAAAGCAGAACTACCACAAGATTGGGATCTGTAGCCAGCCCTGAGACTCAAGTTCCCAGGTCTATAAACACAAAACAAACAAGAACAACAACAAAGAGAAAAACACATGCACAACACACTCTACTTTCTTCTATAGTCTCTGACTGGAATAAGTGATTAAACATTAATAAGTTAACAGTAGATAAGTATTTGTGAAGTGTTGCGGGTGGTGTCAGGGCACCTTAAGAAGTGCTCTACGTGAACTCCATACACAGTAAGATAGAGGAAGCTATTGAGGCCGTGGTCACCAAACCATGCAGGTACCTTCCATTTCTGTCCAAAGGACATTATTAATATTGTGCTTTATTTTTCACTGCCCCCCCATGCAAATTCTCACACACAAAGTCTGCTTAAACACTAATTATTTGAAAGAGTAGTAATACAAATAATCTTGTTGTCTTAACAGTATGTTTAACCTTACTGATATCACTCTGGTGAAAATAAAACCTCAGTTCATTTCCTCAAAGTTATCATAATACTTATATCTACGCATTCTGGCTTAAGAGCAACCTAAATATTAAAAGCAAACATGACACTTCAATTTTTAAAAAAGTCATTTTCCAATCTGTACATGTTTACTGAAATCTTAGCCCTTCCCTGTTTCCTCCCTCTTACCATCTTCCATGGGGATGCCTATGTATCAAAAGAATGAATTAGTCGTTAACTGCTTGCTCCCACTTCCCCCCCAAATTTATAAGCATGACTATTTGAGGAAATATTATTAGTGCAAGTGAAAACAAAGCTAAGTATTATTAATGCTCCAAAAAGCAAAATTATGTTGGAGGTTATAATTCTTTAGTATTTCTAAAAACACCTCTTCAACCAATAATCTGACCAATGATTTTTACTACAAACCCATTAACCTGCCACTGAAGTAAGCAAGCATGATTACTTTTGAGAATCCTTGGTAAAATCATTGTATTTTCTAATGAAAATAAATGCGAAAACTTGGCTCTTTCATAAGGACCACCTACATGCAGTGTAGTAACTCTGCCAAGGAACTATTTTCACCAACAAATGTACTAAAACTATCCTGTAATCAAGTTTCTAAAAAATATGAAAACTGCTAGCTACTTATAAATGTAGAGGCTGCTTGATATTTACCTAACAAGAGCTCCCTTCTTATTTTAGCAAGGCTAGAAAACACAACCTTCAGATGCAGGACTTGGCAGCAGATATCATAATCATGATGGTATACAAGAAAAAGTCACACAACAGTGTTACTTGCCAAGTCGTGGCTTGGCTGGGGCATACCTAAGCTAAAGATAAACAATGTATCTTTGAATAAATATAAGGTATAATACAAACAGAATCAAAACAAAACAAAACCCGACAGTGTATTCAATATTAACCACCACCAATAAAACCACAATAAGTGGACCTCTTGGTTTCTAAGTCACTGAGTTTTGCATAAAACTGATTTGCTTTAATTTCCTGAAACATCAATAATCAGGTAACTAATCATAATTCCTCTTGTAAGCAGGGGGTTAAATATTCTAAGTTGTCTGCCTGGCTTCCACAAATACATTCTGCTAACACATTAAGCTAGAAAGCATATGTTCTGACTTTTTGCTCTACTTGCTCTTAGGGAATAAAAGGGACTGTAAAAATGTCCCAGATTCTAAGAATTTCCCCTTTAGAGTCTTACATAGACAATAACAAAATAAGCCTGCAGGTATGACACCTACAGAGATGAGGGACAGTGACCTCAAGGAAGAATGCTCCAGATATCACCAAAGAAACACTCAGAAAGCAATGATAAACCAATAGGGTCAAACAAAATCTACCACTTATGTAGGATATACTGGTTATTTATACATGATATTTCATTTAATCAAAATTCATGGTCCAATTTATTTAATACAAAAATCAGTTTGTTATTGTTAAGAGTGAGCTCCAATAGGCCCAATGTGGGGCTTGAACTCACGACCCCAAGATCAAGAGTCGCATGTTCTATCAACTGAGACAGCCAGGCACCCCAAGGCAAAAATCAACAAAGTGAATTGTCCGTGTCTGCCACCTCTGCTAAGAGCAACCACAGAATCTTCCAGAAACCAGAGTTTATTTTATCACCAGAACAGCAGCTAAACATAAACCAGCATGCTATCAGTGGGGCTAAGAAAGATACTTCTAAAAGTTTTTTTTAGCAAACCTGTACTGAATCTATAGTAAGAAAAAAGTTATTTAAAAACCGTATCTAAGTTTTACTAATACAGAAAATTATGAATTCCATTGTGATTTTAAAAAGAAAGAATCCATACAGTTGGGGGAAATCTAACCTGATAAAAGATAAAGGTTTTATTTTTAGAGATAAGGACAAAAATTTAAAGGAAGCAGCTGCTAAAATTGCCAACTTGTCCCACCAACAAATCTGAGGCCAAGCACGTAACTCTAGCACACCTCCCATGGTACATGTGGGAGAACTGGTCCTTAATGTGAAAAATGGGAAAACTAATTACAGCACATCTGGGTGACCAGCTCTGTACCCACTAGATGGGAATCAAACCTCTTAGACCCTGTCTCACTCCTACCAGTTAGATCTAGGTCAAGAGAGCATAAGGCCCAAGGGACATCCTCAACTAGAAGCTTTTCTGGGACAGGACCAAGTCATTTTCACCTTCACATCTTCTATATCCAGGACTTGGCAGGTAACCCTAAAAGGCCAGCTGAACGAGTTGCACCCCGCCTGCTGAAGAGGTAACAGTACCAGAGAGCTGTGCCCACTGTGTCATCAGAAGTCTCCAGACACTGCCTTTACTTACGGCCCTGCAGGCTGCCCCTGATCATCCCCTCACGCTCTGAGGGCAAGGAAACGGCTCAGAATGGCCGCCGGGCTCACGCGGCCCCAGATCTGGAACGCAAAAGCCGTCACACACGATCGCCTTGCTCCGGCCCATAGAGGGCGTAATGGCTAGAAAACCTACCTGACAGGACCGAACCTAAAGCTCCAGACTCCCTGGACAGAGAAAGACTTTGATTTAAAAAGAAAACAGTAATTATCCTGTTGGAATAAAATGGATACACTCTTTTTCCCTTGTGAAAATAGATGAATTATAAACCTTCTATACTTTTAAAATTGGTTAAATGACTAATCTCACTTCCAAACACCAAGACAAAAGCAGCTATTTCAAAGCATATGCCGCCATCAGGCCTACCTTGGCACGGTTCAAAAGAAGCCCAACACTCAGGTACAGCAACTCTTTGAACTAACACGTAGACTTAACCACATTTTACATTACTGGTGAGGTACAGTTTTTACTTAAAGGTTACAAACAGTCCTCAAACCCCTTTGTACAAATACATTCTTCAGGCAGCTGCTCTGCAAAGCTCAGAGGGCCATGGACACGTTCCGGCAGGCAGGCTTCGGTGACTCAGAGCCTGATTGTTACTGTGTGAAGACACACAAGACAAGCCTTGATTCCTTTTCCATTCCCCAGTCCTGGGCTTGCCAGAGACTTCACTGCCAATAGTCTGTAACATCTCAATTCAAACCCCAAAACTACTTAAATAAGCTGATTTTTTAGATCAGCATTTCCCCCAACCCGGCCATACATTTTATTTGGGAAAGCGCAAGTGAAGGCAAGATCACGGTAATTAATAAGTCACACTCCGGGTATTAGCTGTGTATAAGATGGTAAGTTAATACTTTTCAGAAACTGCTAATGGAACATGTGAGAAGGTGTGAACTTGAACAATCTCACAAACTGAAAACTGACTTAAGGATAGAACAGGCAACAGAGGGCAGAGAAAGAGAAAGAGGCTGGCTCCAAAGTAAACGTTCGTAATTCCCCAAACCTAAAATTCAATCAGGCTGTGATTTCCTTTTTTTGATCAAGGGTGGAAATAAGGACTGCAAATGTTTTGCAGGAGCCAGTGGAAGGCAACAAATTATGGAGAAAGCTCCACATATAGGAAATGAAAAACTGGAAAAGCAAAGCTCAAGAAGTTGTGCTACTGCATATGAGGGAACTGTCCAAATGGGGACAGTGGCTGGCATTATTCAAATTCACGGAGGGATGGTCTATGGGAGATGATAAACAAGACAGGGGAAAGGGACAACACACAGAGAAATCAAGGTTTCGGTCGATAAAGTAAAAATTGTCACAGGTGTAAAAGACTATTTAAAATCCATGGATGGGGATGCCTGGGTGGCTCAGTGGGTTAAAGCCTCTGCCTTCGGCTCAGGTCATGATCTCAGGGTCCTGGGATTGAGCCCCACATTGGGGTCTTAGCAGGGAGTCTGCCTCCCTCTCTCTCTCTCTCTGCCTGTCTCTCTGCCTACTTGTGATCTCTGTCAAATATATATATAATATCTTTTTAAAAAATAAAATAAAATCCATGGATGAAGTGAAGATTATCTGAGGTCACATAAGGACATGAGAAAAATTACAAGAATATAAACAAGGGGAAATCTAAAGTTAGTAAGATTAAATCAGTAAGTATGACAGGGGTGCCTGGCTCAGATGGTAGAGCATGCAACTCTTGATCTTGGGGGTTGCGAGTTTGGGCCCCATGTTAAGTGGAGAGATTACTTAAAAAAATAAGTATGACAGGGGTGCCTGGATGGCTCAGTTGGTTGGGCCTCTGCCTTTGGCTCAGGTCATGATCTCAGGGTCCTGAGATCGAGCCCCGCATCGGGCTCCCTGATCAGTGGGGAGCCTGCTTCTCTCCCTCTCCTTCTCCCTCCCTCCCTCCCTCCCTCCCTCTCTCTCTGCCTCTCTGCCTACTTGTGGTCTGTCAATAAATAAATAAATAAATAAATAGTATGACAAATAAGGTATTAGTGCAAGAATGACATACTGGTCAACCAGGAAAAACCTAGAAAAATTATTGCTAGAAATCCCATGTATTTAGTATTGTTTATACATGTATTTAATGAATTATCTGTGTGACAGTCTTCTTTTCACATTTACTCTCAGTACTTACTACATGCCAGGCCCTGCTCTAGATTCCGTGGATATAACTCTACAAACAGACAAAATCCCTGCTTTCTGACACTTACAGTCTAAGAGATAAACAATAAAATATATACTTTCCCAGTGAAAAGGGAAATAAACAACTAAAGTATTTTTTCCCAATGGGTAAAAAGCCTATGGAGGGGAATAAAAGAGTAAAATGGGTGTGGGTATTGCTTTTCTACATGCGGCAGTTAGGGAAGTGTACACTGGTAAGGGGATGGCATCCATGCAGGAATAGAATGGTAGAGTGACTGGGGCACAGAAAACAGCAAGGAGGGGCGCCTGGGTGGCTTAGTGAAGCATCTGCCTTCAGCTCAGGTCATGATCCCAGAGTCCTGGGATGGAGCCCCACATCACCCTCCCTGCTCGATGGGGAGCCTGATTCTCCCTGTCTGCACCCCACCCCCGCTTGTGTTCTCTTTCTTTCTCAAATAAATAAAATCAATAAAAAGGAGGAAAGAAAGAAGAAAGGAAAGAGGGAAAAAAAGGAAAGTGGGAAGTAAAGGGGAAAGGAAAAAGGAAAGGAAAGGAAAGAAAAAAAGCAAGGAGGCCAATGTGGCCACAATGGGAAGTATACCAGAATATGGGGGAAGAGGGATCGTAAGGGGGGTAAACGGGGTAAGTTTCTGGCAGGCTTTGGAGGTCCTTTGCAGGGTAGGACAGAATACACATTCTTATGGAAACAGACCACATCTTGTGGATTTAATAGCCCAGCATCCCACAGTGGGTAGAATGCACAAACTGCCTTCAGGGCTAACAGATTGTTGGCGAATTAAAACATATCTAATTCAGGGGCGTCTGGGTGGCTCAGTGGGTTAAAGCCCCGGCCTTCAGCTCGGGTCGTGATCCTGTGGTCCTGGGATCGAGCCCTGAGTCAGGCTCTGTGCTCAGGGGGGAACCTGCTTCCCCCTCTCTTTCTGCCTGCCTCTCCCCCTACTTGAGATCTCTGTCTGTTGAATAAATAAAATCTTAAAAAAAAAAAATCCGCATTCAATCTTTCAGTCCATTTTAAATTAGTCTACAGTCACTTACTGCAGGAAATTAGCAGTTACGATCAAATGTGAGACTTAAATGGACCTCCACAAGCTCCTTCAAAACCACGCTTTGCAAAGGCAAAGGAACTACTTCAAAGTTGTCACTGCCTGTAAGAATTATGACTCCCCATGTTTTCAAATGGCTTCAGAGCCTGCTGCAAGATCTATCAAGCCCCTTTAGACGTGGCAGAAATTCTCTGCCTCCTTCTCTCATCATTCAGACTCCAGATCACATGTCACCTCCTGAGACCTTTCCTGACCTCCCTCCTGGAAGTATCGCCACCACCCAAAAGAACTGCTTGCTCCCCAAGCCTGTCACCATCACAGCACCTAGTCTGTACGAAATGCCACCACATTAAGTTACAAGACACAGAAGACAAGAATTCTATCTTAGTGGCCACTGCTTCCAAGTACCTAGAGCAGCACCGGGCACACAGCATGCGTTCACTAATTATTCCCGGAACGGAGGAGTGGAAGCAATTTTTGGAAAGATCTCCAAGTCACCTGGAACCAAGTCCAGAGAACAATATTATAAGGATTCCCAACTACTAGCAACTGAAAGAAAAAGCATTAAGACCTAGATTGATTTTTTAAAACCACAGTACACATGATCCCAAAATGAACATTTTTTCGCCCTGACATTCCAAGTGCATGAGACCATCTCTCTGGCACTCTGCCACTCACATAGTTTCACTGCACGTCCAAAAGCCTTCACGCTGACACTAGATCAGACTGACCCAGGAGCACTAACAGATGGGACATACCAAGTCTGAAACCAGGACTGCACTTTCCAAACTAATCAGGACACAGGAGTGATTCCTTTCCGCAGACCCGGCAGCCCCGCCCACCCAACCACAACCAGAGCCCCCTCCTTCTCTCCAGAGCCCCGCTACCACTTTCCTTGGTCATGCTTCCCTTTCCTCTTCACCTCCATGGGCCCGGCCTTCCTCCCCTCCTTCGGTCTCCCAGGATCATAACAAATACTCTTTTCCAGGTGATTTTATATATGGCAAATGAACAGTTCTGTAAAGAAAGCACTACCTATGTTGGAAGACAGAAGCAGGGCTGTCACACACTTGCAGGCACCTCTGAGTCCAGGCCTTGAACTCAGAAGGAGGACAGCCCGGCTCTCTGAGGAGCAAAGCCAGCACAGAAAATGGCCCAAGACCCTACCAACTCCTGGTGCCTGAAAGCTGATGGAAATGGGTGTGAGAGGGTGTGACATTGGCCTGCAAGGTCTGAAGCTGCTTCCTGGGTCCCGCTCCCATCCAGTGGCCTTTCCTCCTCTCTCCACAGGCTCAAGGACAAGACCGCTGCCTTCTCTCTGTGCTGCTGCCTCCACACACTGCTCCGTGGGGAACCCTGCCTTCTCTTCCTCCAGCAAAGGGGGATGCAAGCTCTTCACTCCCTCCTTCCTTGCTGCTCCAAAAGACACTGACAAGCGCCTTTTACCGTCTAAAGGGCTTTATTACCAATCATTACAGAGAGCACAAGGTGTAAAACCTTGGGGGAAGTTCGAGCTTCCACAGAACCACTACAACTGCGGTCCCTCATGCTACAGTTTCTGTTCTCCCCCAGCCAGCGAATGGTTTAACAAAGCTCCTCCTTATTCCAGAATTCAGGAGCCAGTAACATTTAAAAAGGAAGGAAGAAAGAAAGAGAGGGAAAAAGGAAAGAAAAGGCACACAGGGTTAAAAACTTTTTTGTTTTTTCCTGGTAAAGGACGATAAAAAGAAGCAAAAATCTCACCATGTGCCAGTACCACAAATGAAGTAAGTTTTATTACATGCACCAAAAAGTCCATCATTCAAACTGTAATAAATTAATCTTTATAAAAAACATCTCGCCATATTGTTCTCTTTTTCTTATTTTGCAATAGAGAAGTGAAACAGGACATCGAGGAGCTGGCGCTTGGGAGCAGTGATTTAACCGGGTCCCACATTCAGTCACGGTTAAAAGATAAAACACGCTCTCTGCCTCGAGGACACAGTTTTTCAAAATATCCAGCCCCCAGCAATGAGCCCTTCCGAGATACACGGAACCAGTGGCGCCCAGAGCCAAGCTGGAGCTTTACCCTGACATCCTGGGAGGCTGGCAGCTCCCGGGCAGCGACCAATTAGATACTGAAGGAGTATCACTTTGTTCTCAAAAACCTTTGGCAGTCGGATGAAAAGAAATAAGTATTACTTCAATACCATCAAGAAATGACAATGTGGGTTCAATCGCTGACTTAACAACCTTTATTATGTACTTTAAACTGTTCTAAAAACCCCAAATGTATCTAGACTTTCTTGGCCTTAATAAAGAACAGCTGGGCAACAGGACTCGTTCTTTATTACTTAGAACTAGGCCAAAAAAGTGGCAAAAAAAAAATCTCAAATTGTACACAACCCCTAAAATTTGTTTTCCACAGCAAAAGCTATTTAAGACTGAAATTTACAATGCTAAGACCTTCTGTTTTCCACAGTTAATATGTAAAGAATGGCTCAAATGCTTTTCTTTTGAGAAAACCCCTTAGCAAACTCTCTTGTGGTACCTGACCCTTCAGCAGAAGAACTTAATCCAGGCACAAATGCAGGGCACTGCTTCGTTTTATAATGCAGGGGTAGTTTATGAAAGTCATTACTTGAAAGCAGTAGGAAAAAATCTAAGCAATGGATTTACATGGGAAATTAATGATGTCACGTTATAAACTTTTTAATTAACGAAAGCATTTTACTTACGATGTCCCTTGCTGAGAATTAGTGTGGATTTTTGAAGATGTATCATATTGTTCTGTGAGGGGAGGAAAATGATCAGAGTAGCACAATGAGATACATTCTTGAGTTTATTCGTTATAAATCCCCCTTTTTTTGTGCTGTCCTCCTGACCCCCGTCCTCACCTCTTCCACCTGAACACTTAGTCTACTTCGACTCAGTCAACCATGGTGCCTGCTATACGCACTGCACTTGGTACAATCTCACCATTATAGAATACCACTTATGTTACCTCTAGAAAGACGACTTGCTCAGAATCGAAAAATCCCAGCCCTGCTGGCAGCACATCCTACCCCATGGCTGGCAACTTTCCTATACGCTGGAGACCTGACTTCCTCTGATGTCAGCTGGCAGTGGGGGACTCCCATGGAAGCCCCAGGACAGGGCTGCTCTCACTCCCACCTCATCTGCCCCTCCCCATCTATCAGTGGTTTACTAGCACTTCCTTTTTGCGGCCTCTGACTTCTCTAGAGTGTGAGTTCCCTCTCACCTGTCCCTCCATTATTCAAAACCTGCCCCCATTCACTCATTCGTACTGCCTCATAGACACAAGACGTGCAAGGCACTCGACCCTATCCTCCATGGGTTCGCAAGTGACTGAGGAATGTGATAGGCACAAAAATATCTCCAATGGCGGGCAGTGTGAGAGGAGCACACAAATTAACCACATAAATGAACTGTCTCAGGAATCTAAGAATGGTCTCTCTATTGGTTGTGACTAAAAGAAGGCAAGTCAGACAAAGAGCAAAATGAACTGTCACAAAAGATGGGGGAGATTTTGACAGAATGCTGGCCAAAGGGAGAGGGGGAGGAAGGCCTTCAGGCAGGAGACAGTGCGAGCAGGGGCTTAGAAGAGGGAAGATTTAAAATGGCACAGACTCGGTAAAGGATGGGGTACAAAATGTGTGGATACCATGGGAAGACAGGTGAAGGTCAGATTTAAAGGGCACTGAATGCCAGGGTAGCAAGTTATAACTCTGTTTGGCAATGACACACCACCAAGTAACAGGGACATGACAGACTCCTCAGAAAGACTAGTGGTGCCATCTGGTAGAACCTAGGAGCTTCCCTAGAAGGGAACGGGCAATATTAACCGTGAAGGCAACAAACTATCTTCTGGGAAGCTGCTTTAGGCTTGATGTAATAGGGAACTGAAAGTGGAATGGAAATCCGGGAGCCTTTTATCCAGGGGTTGAATGAGATTTCCCAAAGTGTCATGTGGAGACCTTGCAATTAATCACTTCATCCTCATGGTGGCAGCAGCTCTTACATGGTGTTTGTAACTGCTTCCCCTCAGGGCTACTACAAACTGGAGGGCTAAGGTCACTGTTCTCCTCACTCACAGGGACTCTCATATACCAGTCTTCACTGGGTTTGAAGCGCCACAAGGCTCTGGTCGTCCTTAGGCATATTTCATTCTCCGCAGACTCCAAAACCTTAGGATAATTCTCTCTTCATCCAACATGCAACTAGACCTCTCCAGGGTTCAACTAGGCCCCACTCTCACAAAATAAACAAGGTTCCACGGAACATGGACAGACAGAGTGGCAGCAGCATGAAAAACCACAGGATAAGCATAGATAGAGTGAGCCAAGACCCACTGGAGACGTGCCAGGCTCTGAAAATGCCTCGGAGCGAGGAGAGATGGGCCCACACGACTCCACCTGCTGGCAGAGAGGGCCACCCATCCTCCACCAAGAAAAGTGCTTACCAGCTCCTCTTCAGCTAGATTTTGCTAAAAGGGGAAATCAAACAATTTAAAGGCTTAAAAGGTCTTTCTAAACCGGGAGTCAGCAATCCTCAAAGCTGTAACCCAGTGGGAGGCATATGATCCACCAGCCAGACAGCCCTAGCAAATGGGCAGTGGGGACAGCAAGGGGTAAAGGGGCATACAGCAAGCCTGAACACAGCTGAGCCAGACATCCAGCAGAGCCCTGTGCCACTCCACTGCTTATCTGTCTCTGGAGAGGCTGCCAAGATGCTGAGAAAAAGATGCCCCCATCTCTGCAAGAAGCCATTAATTTCTGTTAATTTTACCTTGCCGCTTTTGCAATACTATGGCAAGATGATCAGGTTTCTTTCTCTGCGTTTGGGGGAAATTCAGTTATGAGCTTTTTGCAAGGTCTCATTCGGTATCTAGAGCAGAGGATGGCAAACTTTTTCTATAAAGGTCAGACAGCAAATATTTCAGACTTTGCATGCTGTACCTTGTTGCATAATAATAAATGAACAGGCATGGCTGTGTCCTGAGAAAACCTTCTTTACAAAAACGAACTGCAGAACAGATCAACTCTCAGGATATATCTCAGGATATGGTGGACCCACCCCTGCTCTAGAGGCAAGAATATTCTGTTTCATGCTTTCCTCATCTTTTCTATTCTCCTCATATCCTTGCAATTTAAACTGTAAAAAATTCAGGGAAAAAATGTAAGTGAGAGAATAGAAGGAGGTGGGGAGATTGAAGGAAGAGTCATCTCCATGGGTACCTCTGTGCAACCTTCTCCCAACATACATACATACCCTACTTCGTTGTCCTATTATTTTGGAAGACTACTTCAGAACTTGGACACGTACCATATATTAATAAACTAAATGACTGCAGGGGCGCCTGGGTGGCTCAGTGGTTAACCGGCTGCCTTTGGCTCAGGTCATGATCCCAGCATGGGGCTCCCTGCTCAGTGGGAAGCCTGCTTCCCCCTCTCCCACTCCCCTGCTTGTGTTCCCTGTCCGCTCTGTGTCCATCAAATAAATAAATAAACTCTTTTAAAAGGGGGGGGGCGGCTGGGTTGCTCAGTCGGTAAAGCATCTGCCTTCAGGTCAAGTCAACATCCCACGGTCCTGGGATCGAGCCCCACATTGGGCTGCCTGCTCCATGGGGAGCCTGCTTCTCCCTCTGTCCCTCCCCCTGCTTGTCTCTCATGACCTCTCTCTCAAATAATTAAATAAAATCTTAAAGAAAAAAAAAAAAAAAAAAAGAAGCTATGTACTCTATTCATATAAATTTCTTACTTTTGTTAGGAAAAAAACACAAGAACCACACAGAATACCCCAATCTATTCTATATACCATTTCTGGGTTGCAATGCTTTCAGAGTCACATTCATGGTGTGTGGATAGATCAGTAACTGTATTTGTTATAATTATGACACATTATATTTGTCAAGTACTTTACTAGGACATCATCATTAACTCTGCAACAATCTGAAATTCCACCCAAAGAACAGCTTTATGCTTGTGCTCCCTTCCTAGTCTTTCAAAACAGGAAGCACTCATCTGTGCTGGGCTATTTTTCATTTTATTTTTTTATATTAAAACAACAAAAACTTTGCTTTCGTCTCCAATGCAATAAAAGCTCCACTTACTTTGGTTTTGGGTTGCAGAACTGATGTGCTGAGAATCCTAGAAAGAAAAAAAAAATCTCCAGTTATTAAAATATTAAGGTTTATAAATCTAAGGCTGCATCACTGCTAACTGTGATGAACACTGATAAATGGGTTTTATTTTTTCTATTTATTACTTATTTCTTCTACTCTTACCTAGAACTTATTTTTCCTGGGTGTTGAGCAAACATCTATTTATTTATTTCCACAAAGTATAATGTTTTACCTTAAAGCCAGTAACAAAGAACAACATTAAAAAAAACTATCATGAGAAAATATGTAAAGTATCTAATAAGACAAATTCAGGTCTGGGTAGATATAACCTCTTTTGAAAACAGTTTCATGGAAAGAAGTAGCTATGATATATTAACAGTATGCATGTATACCAACCTGGACAGAACACAGATCTGAAGGTGCTATTCTATACCCTGAAGCTTATCCCAAAGTACAAATAAGCAAAGGAAAATGGGAGTGTTTAAAACACACTGTTCAAAACTACTTCAACGGAAACATGCAAGTCAGCAACTGATCCACTTGTTATTAAAACCAGCACTAACGAAGATGATCACAGCAAACCTGAAGAAAATTAGGAGGCATGAGAAGTCTAAGATCTACGTGTTACACATGTACCTAAATTCCAGATGAGGAATCAGACAACTACCTCGCTTACTCACCCTGGACTTCTGTTTTCCCATGTCTCAGTAAGAAGACTCAAATGAGAGAATTGACTGAAAAGCCCCAAAAACTTTCATAAGCTATAAAACCTTGTACAAATATATATTAGATGTTCCTACTCACATTAATTTGGAAAGTGAAGTGTTTGAAAACATTGTGAAGCACTTTAAGAAGCTAAATTAGTGGCAAATTTAACCTAATCTGTGAAGATTTCAACAGTCAGTACTAGGTTAATCTAGCTCACAACAATACTTCAGACTTTCAACGGGTGTGGATACAGTGCCTGCCGTACTTGGAAGGAATTACCTTTGTGGGAAAAGGAAATTTGGAGGGCTCAGCTGTACTAGGCGTGTGTATTGCTGTCAAAGGAGGCGGCCATGAGTGGGTCATTTCCTGGAAAGAGATTTGGAAAAGAAAGAAAGAGTAAATTATAAATAGAACACTTACTGCTACGTAAGTTAACTTTTTAAACTAATGTAAAGTGCACTGGTGGTAAATAAAAAGTGGAATCTTACAAGTTATTTTACTTTTAAAAGACTCCTACTTAACGGGTTATGTTCAAACGCTGAAAACCTCCAACTCACCAAACAGAAATCAGTCCAAAGAAGAAAATCAAGAGTACAGAACATGAACGGTCTTAACACTGTATAAAGCATATAAACAGTAATAGGTATTAACAGAGCTTATGTAACTGGGAGCATGGAGTCTCTACTCAATGCTTTCTTTCTCCTTCAGCTTCTTTATTGCATTTCCTGGAATTATTTAAGTTCAAAGGAAGAAGAACTTTCCTGTTTGACTTAAGCAAACAAGTAATTCAGGTCACTTGTTCCACTTGGGAGAGTTTTAATGGATTTGACCCTCCCCTGATACACACTATTAGTACAAATTTTTTTTTTTTGGAGGAAGGGGCCTTAAAAAATTACCTTCCCTTTCCAGTAACAGAAATTTCACTTCTATTCACTATTTTCATGGAGGCAAGATTTCTCCTTCACAAATTAATATATTTATCTTGACATGAATTCTTCTTTTCTAAGCACACTCATGACCTAACAGTCCGCTTTGCTAAAAAAACTGGGGGGAAACGGGTCAGATTAAACATGTGTAATCACAAATACATGCATGCATGTGTGTGTTCACACACGCACACAAACACTTTGGTAAAGAGCTAAAATGGCATTGGAGATCATTCATATCAACTCCTTTTTTTTTTTTAAGATTTTATTTATTTGTCAGAGAGAGAGAGAGCACAATCAAGAGGAGCAGCAGGCAGAGGGAGAAGCAGACTCCCTGCTGGGTGGAGAGCCCGGTACGGGGCTCAATCCCAGGACCCCAGGATCATGACCTGAGCCGAAGACAGACGCTTAACCGACTGAGCCACCCAGGTGTCCCTCAACCCCTTCATTTTTATAGATGAGAAAACTGAGCCAGAATGACTAGATCAGGATAATGGCTGAGAACACAGAGTGTGGGTTTGCTCCTCCGGTCTAAGAGCAAGAAGTTCATTCCCCCATGTGTCACACTTGCCTGGGAAACTGGCTTAAAGATGGACAGGCAACTTCCTACCAACAAGCTGATGACCCCAGACTGTGCTGAATTACTTCACTTGTACAACACAGTATATTACAGAACACTGCACTCTTTTCAGAGTGCGGACAACCTCTCCATTACCACAGAAATGCCACCTGATCCTTGAACAACTGGAGATGGATCTCTAGCAGTATTTCCATTCCCAACCTCTGCACCTTCTCCCTTGCCTTTCCCCACAGCCACTCTCTGGGCTGCTATCACCCCAGGACAGACATAAGTGACCTGCCACAGGGATAAGCAAAGTCTCCAAGGCTAGCTTTCTTAATTTTTGCTAAAGGTGAAGACATACCCCTGCCCACAGACTAACCCTCTGTTTTGTGCAGCACAAAGGAAGAATTCTGTCCTCAAATCCCGGACTGGAATCTGAACTCTGATCCTTACCAGCCCCAGGGAGCCTGAGGTGCCTGAACCCTCTGGCACCTGTTCTCAGTGAAAGGTGAACTAAGACCACTTATTTTCCTGAGGGGCGATAATTTATGTAGTGCTGTATTGGTCATAGAAAGTACTTAATAAATTAAAAGCATCCTAACTTCTAATTAAGTCTAGTTTCTCAAGAATTTCAATACTGCACCAAAGAGAACTCCCTGCTGTTTTATTTATTTTACTATCCTTTAAGGAATGGATCATTATATTGCTACAATGTAAAAATGCAATTAATTGAAGTGTTTGAAAGTATCCCCTCTCTTCGTTTTCCAAGAATTTCTTTAGAATCCCAATGGTATCTGTGACTTTTAGTCACCAATTATTCCCAGAAAATGTCTATTGTACTCACAATGCCCAAGGCTGCCCCAGCTATTAAATTAGGCCGTTGGAAAGTGCATAAACTCTTTCAGGCCCTAAGTTGTTTGCCAAAAGTCTGAAAGAATTTATATACTTCCCTAAATGCCTAGCTTACTGGAGGGAGTTAGGCCTTAGGAGAATCGCGGCCATAAGGCGAGGAGGCTGCCCACAATTGCATGCAAGGCCAGGAATTCGCTACCTACCTTAGCAGTAACTTATCATCACACCTGCCTCAGTCTTGGCTTTTAGGCACCACGGATGCTATAGCTTCTCACTCTCCACCTTGCTCCTTCTGCTCTAGACACACCGCCTAGCTCCTGATGCTCTTCTATTATACTGACCTGTTCCCACCTCAAAGGTTTTTTGCATTCTTTCCTCCTCATTCACCTGCCGTAGGACTCACAGTACTTAGCAATACCTGACATTTTTATTACATCGTTAACTTTCCCCACAATCCCCTTTAGAGCAAGAACTCAAGTCTTCTTCATACAGAATCCCCAGTGCCTAGGAAAGTATTTGAGCCTTAGTGGGCATTTGTTGCATAAATGAATGAACGAACGCTAGTGCTGCCATTGACTGTCACAGTGTCACTGGGAGGATACACCGAGGTCATGTCCCCGAGGACTGCACTGACTTTCCCAGGAGGCTGCCCAGGCCATCACACTGTAAGGGGAGAACAAGCTGTTTCCATACACCCACTGAGGACATGAGGGCACAGTGCCCTGTCTGGAGCTCGTATGGGACCAATTCCTAGTTTCTAGTAGTGTCTATCTGGTATCTCCTTACCCCATTAGCCTTCAGAAATACAGGCCACCCCTTCCCCTTCATTAAAACACTTCCATTTTTAATATTTCCACCAGAGAACCAAATAGTATCATCTACGACTGATTTTTTTTTCTGTTAGGGAACTATTTACTGCTTCTATTGCCCATCAGAAAGATTTGCATTAGGATTCTTGGCGATCTTCATAGATTGCTCGTACAAGAGAAGAACAAGAACCATGAGGCAGAGGAAAATATCTGGATCAGCAAGAGAGGGGGAGCTAGATCACATGCTAGAGATCATCTATTAGCCCAGGGCCTTCAATTTACTTGCAAGGAAACCGAGGCCCAGGGCAGTACACATGATGTAGCTGGAGCTCCAAAGAGAGGAGAAAAGAAGGGGCACAGACTCCAAGTCTCTGCTGTGCAAAGGCCTGTGCCCCTTCTCAGTCCAGGACAGCCTTCTGTCTGGTTTCTGTACAATTTCCAAATGAAAATACTCCTCTGGTTGCCTGCATTAACCATACTTTTTCATGTATTTCCAGGTAAGGAAAAACCCATCAAAGTGATGCTGGCTTAGAGGTGGAGAGTTTATTAAATGGGTTTATTAAATTAAAATTGTTCATCTGGTGCTCTAATACCATCATCCTAATTAAGGGATTCCACAAGTACTATATTAACCCACATCAAAACCTAAGAGCATTTGACATATACAGAAGACAAACTTATCTACATTGTTGCATTTACTTTTGTAGTAACTATAAAACAAATCACATACACTTTCAGAGAAAATGCTAAACCTTATTTTATAACTAAGTCATCTGTTGTTTTTATGACTCATCATACCAAAAGATTTCAGAAATCCCAGAAGGAAAGGATGAAACAAAAGCTTGATCAAGATAACCTGTTTATTATTAATCATTCAAGTTGCTTCAGAAATACTGCTCAATTCTAGAAGTACAAAGCATGTTTTCTTAGAGATATTTCTTTCTCAGAAGATCCTAACTTCAAAAGTAGGGGACAAAGAAAACAAAAACGATGGGACTACTTTCTATACTTTCTACACATCTGGGCAGCCACTACCTTAGTCAAAATTTTTCCAAGTGAGAAGATGAGCTATAGAATTACTGGTTTCAGGGGCGCCTGGGGGATGCAGTCGGTTGAATGTCTGAGACCCTTGGTTTCAGCTCAGGTAGTGATCTCAGGGTCATGACATCAAGCCCCGCACTGGGCTCTGGGAGGAGTCTCTGTCTCCTTCTACCAAACCAACTCCCCTGATCGCACTCTCTCTCTAAAATAAATCAATAAATCTTAAAAAAAAAAAAAACAAAAACTGGTTTCAGTTCCACCTTACTTTACAACGGAAAGTTAAAGGGTCCATGTGTCATGTATATCTGCACTTCAAAAATAAAATCAGAGGGGCGCCTAGGTGGCTCAGTGGGGTAAAGCCTCTGCCTGCGGCTCAGGTCATGATCCCAGGGTCCTGGGATCGAGCCCCACATCGGGCTCTCTACTCTACGGGGAGCCTGCTTCCTCCTCTCTCTCTCTCTGCCTGCCTGTCTGCCTGCCTACTTGTGATCTCTGTCTGTCAAATAAATAAATAAAATCTTAAAAAAAAATAAAATCAGAAAACTTATAGTAAAAGATAAAGCAAGAATATCATTAAATCCCACACAGAGGAAAGTTAAAAGCTGAAGAAAAAGGATAAGAAATAAACAAAAACCTTAGTTACTACTATTACAGTACTTGGGGGGCATTAAATTTAGCTCTAGATTTCCTGGAAATTAAAGCCAAAATGGGAAACTCAACAACTTATATAATTATTCTCTGATAAAAAGAAAGCATGCTGGTTCATGAGGAGAATGGATTTATTTTTTCCTGGAGCTGAATTCTAGGAGGCATTTGTTGTCCTTGTGCAAAAAGCCTTGAACCTACACGTGATGGGTTCAATGATATATCTGCAGAAGCAGTACAACTGTTCATGGCACCATCTCAAGAAACAAGAGTGAAAAATAACCCTTCACGGTAGGCTTATAGATGTCTATTTACTTTCTACTGCTTTTTTAAAAATTCCTTTAAAAATTCATGGCCTCACTAAAGATGAGGCCGTACCTATCGGGTGTGACCTACAAAATACCAAGAGGGATACATCTAGCACTATTTAACCCCTTAAATTAAGAGGCCTTTTCTTCCTGAGAAGTGAGCCACTCTTGTGGGTCTTTATGAACAACCATCAGAAAAACCTAAGCGAGGTCTTAAAACTCTAGTCCAAATGCCTTGCAGCTTGTAGACTTCACTTTAATTAAGAGAATCTGTCAGAGAGCTCCATTAGGCTCTTAAGAGTCCTTCTGTTCCTATTCTGGTTTATTTTGCATTGGAAGGTGTGAGGAGGGGAACTGTTTGAAGGGGTTTGGAATGGTAACTGTTCATTAAAGTCAAAGTCAATGGATATCCGTCCACTTCCTTCAGTATTTCTTCAAATGGAGAAACAGTAAAGGAACTCACCTTCAGAATCTCTTCAACACAATGAACTTCATTGGAGTAGGTCTGCTAAAAGTGGGGGGGAAAAAAAAGGAAGGAAAATCTTAGCACAAACAAACAAAATCCAACTCAAGCGATGATACTAGTGGGTGCTGGTATTCATCCAGCAGCACTGCTGCAAGGGTGACCACCTTAGGACCACCTTTCACTGGCGGAGTCGTAGGAACTTCACATTCTGGAGCAAACAAGACCAGAGACCAACCTGACTTCACCCGGGGGGAAACGCTTTTGCTGGAGACAAATGGAGACTAATTTGGACCCTCGGGTCAACATTTCCAAAGGAGAACGAGTACCTTAAAGAAAATTAGTAAATCTAGAGGAATAATAGACATAATGAAAGTGGAGACAGAAAGACAGGAAACGTGGGTCACAGCTTGCTCCGTAGTAACATCTGTCCAGCCAGCCAAGGGAAATGAACACAGCGATGGAAATCATGTGGACACCTCAGTGAGCCCACAGTAAAGAGGCGAACACCAAATCAAGGATAGTTTAGATTTTCTGGGTAATAATCTAGCTGGCCAAAGATTGTCTTTAAAATAATGACATTCACTCTAATGTCTCTACCCCTCCTTCAAGTCAGCATTTCACAGTATATATGCACATGTATACACACACGTACACACAAACATGCCCCGTATTTCCCCAGAGAAAGACCCTAGGGAGAGAGGAGTTTTCCTAGTGGCCTCTATGAAAGATCTACTACTTATACTTCTTCCTGATTCTCAGCTAAACAAATGACAGCTACTACCACTACTATCACCACCACAGCCAGTGTCTAGGAAATGTCATTTTTACAGTCTTTATATCTTTAAGTGCAAAGAAAGTGGAAAAGTAAAACAAAAAACACTAAAACAAACAACAACAACAACAACAAAAAAAAAACAACCCATTTTTCCTTAACTAGAGACATGAAACAAATCCCATGACCTCATCCTTTTCACTGGAAAAGCAACTTTTTGCTCTGTGTCAATTCAGAGCCAAGTGCCCTGGGCAAGTTCTATACAACACACACCCCTCCTGTGACTGCCACTACTGTGTGCATAAAGCACTGGTCTTTCCAGTCCGTGGGGTCCAATACCTGCCTCACAGCTGGAGAGGAGAAGAAGGGTTTTTTCCTGGCTCTCATTTCTAATCTGAGTGTAATTTAATACAGCATTAGTTGCCAATTCCTGATCTAGGATTCATTAATTCACCACTCCAGTTTAAGGATGAAGGAAAAGGAAAGAAAAGAGCATATAACACTCACACGGTCGTGCAATCAAACTGAACAGGCATGTCAATGTTCAAATGTGATTTACCCTAACTGGGTCTGTTCTTAAAACATGTAAATTTCATGGAAACAATTGTGTTGAAATGTTTGCACTTTGATATTTTTGAAGAAGTTCGAAGGTATAACCAAAGAATCAAGGGTATCCCTTGATGTCCTATCAGATCTGCCTTTAGGCATTCTGCATGTCACTAACTATATTTCCTTACCTGCTTTTTGGTTTTTTCAAAACCATTAAGAGATGCCTAAAAATTGGGCCAAACACTAATAACCAAACCTTTTAGTACAAATGTCAGAAACAGAACTGAATGCTGTTTTGACCTGAGAATAAAAGGTAAGAATAGTCTATGGTTTCAATTTTTCACATGCATCATCAGGAAAAATAACAATTACAAGTTGAAGGTAAATCAATACAATAGAGCATATAGCATATTACTACCGACCCTGGTCAAACAGTCCCCTCATCCCTATCTGTTCCTGGAATGCAAACAGGAATCCAATCAACATGTCTGGGAATCAACGAAATAGTGAAGCATGTTGGAATGAGAGAGAAAAAGATTTGCCCACTGCTTCTGACAGAATGAGATGTGAAGGCTGTAACTTCAGGACGCTAATAAAAGACTTTCCAATCTTCGTAATTATTCAAGGAGTCAACACTTAGCCAAGATGCTTTATGTCACTAAAAGATTTTTTTTCCTAAAGCTTTATTACATGAGATGAAGCAGAACTGAAGAAATTTTTCTAAAGCTCAGAATTTATTAGTATCTGGGTAAGATAAATATTGCTAAGTAGACAAACTTTAACCCATTTAACCCATTTAAAATTGTAAATAAGGTCTTAGTGTTCAAGCATTCATTTGTTTGTTTTATTTACTGTGATTTTTTCCTATTAGGTCCACTATGAGACTGGGAATATTTCAACGGAGGGCAGGGATTCCATTCCAAATACATGAGGATATTAACATATTTAAAGACCTCTGAGCAGCACTGTTTATAATAGCAAATAACTGGACATAATCAAATACCCAAAAACAGGAATCTAGCTAAAGACCTTCACAGTACATCCACACAGGAGTGTGCTACAGAGAATTAAAATAATAATGTAAATGTACGGGCTTGCATGGAAAGATGCTCAAGATATTTTCAATTTGTTCTTTAGAAATAATTTTGTATTTAGAGAAAAGTTGTGAAAATAGAAAATAGAAAAAAAAATTCCCACAAACCGTTCACCCAAATTCCCCAAATGTCAGCATCCTACCACATTTTTTATTTTTTTCTCTCCCACCCATCTACCCTGAACCATTTCTAAGAGTAAGTCAGAGAGAGTTAATGCCCCTTCACTCTTAAATACCTCTGTGAGTACCAAGATGTATTTTTAAAATGATATTTAACTATTTAACAGAGGGGAGGTTTCCAAGATAGTCTGAATAACACGAGCCCATTTTATGTTCCATCTACCTGAGATTCTGATCTCTACTCTTCTGCCGACCCAAATTAGAGACTCTAGTTTAAGAGTGTATGTGTTTCAAATGTGTCTGCAGAGAAAGATCTGTAAGGACAGGCTCCCTTGTTTCATCAAGTACAGTCTGGCACCTCCAAGTCTGCTGCCAGAAGGAGACCTTCCAAAAGGGGAGGGCGGGGGGGGGGGAAGTTCAACAAACCATTATGGCCCAATCCCTTACTTAAAATCCACTTTGGCCAGAGGGTCTCCCACTGAGCTCTGCCATTCCTGCTGGGAGAATCCAGGCTCCTTGGAACAAACACTGCAGCCCAAGAGGAAGTAAACACTAAGCCTCTCTAAAGCACAGCCTAGTTAAGGCTGAAGATCTTCAGGTAAGACCTCCCCAAAGAATGAGGTGACAAAAAGCAACAACAAGGAAAATCTCTGCTAGCTGCACGAATCAGGAAGTTCTACTTCGCAGGTCCCTTCCTCGTCCAGCTCCTGCTCCCAGTGTGTAGACAGTGACTACAACCACAAATCCTACTGCCGTCTCTCACATTCAACATCTACGTTCCTAGGGGAACACAGCTCTTCCCTCCTGCCCACTTGTGGCTACCTCACAAATCTGGTGTCTGTGTGTAGACTGACCTCGTTTCCTCACTAGGGTATGGCCTTAACACAGGAACCGTAATTCTATTCAACTAAAAATAAAATGATAGCAGCTACTTACTGAATACCTATTGTACCTGGCATGGCATTAACCTCTTTACCTACTATTATTTCCTCTATTTGATACCATCTATTGTAAAATGCAACAGCATTGGCTTGGGGGGCAGAGTCAGGGAGACTGCCCTAAATGTCCCCATCAATTGTAGATCTGGCCCTCATTACAGAAACATAAAAATGACATACCACAGCTGACATTACATTCAACTATGAAAAGCTAGAAGCTTTTCCTCTAAGATGGGGAATAAGACGAGGATGCCTACTTCTGCCACTTTATTCAACAGAGTAACTGGAAGTTACTAGGCACAGCAATCAGACAAGGAACAAAAGGCATTCAAACTGGAAAATAAGTAAAACTGTCCCAATTTGCAGATGACATACTATATATAGAAAACTCTAAAGACTTCACCAGAAAACTATTAGAATAAATGAATTCAGTAAAGCTTCAGGATACAAAATAATATATATAAATCTGTTGCATTTCTGTATACTAATAACTATCAGAAAGAGAAATTAAGAAAACAATCCCAGGGGGCACCTGGGTTAAGTGGGTTCAGCCCTGCTGGGCTCAGTGGGTTAAGTCTCTGCCTTCAGCTCAGATCATGATCTCAGGGTCCTGGGACTCAAACCCCTCCCCCCAAAATCTGGCTCTCTGCTCAGCAGGGAGCCTGCTTCCCCACCCCCCCACCCCTGCCTCTCTGCCTACTTGTGATCTCTGTCAAATAAATAAAATCTTAAAAACAAAACAAAACAAAACAAAAAAAAAACAATCCCATTTATAATTACATCCAAAAACAAACCCATACAAAACACCTAGGAATAAATTTAAACAAGAAAGTAAAAGACCAAGACTCTGAAAACTAGAAGACCCTGATGAAAGAAACTGAAAATAATACAAATAAATAAACAGATATATCATGCTAATAGACTAGAAGAACATTGTTAAAATGTCCATACTACCCAAAAATAAAACATTCATACTACCCAAAACAATCCACAGATTCAGTGTCATCTATGAAAACACCAATGGTATTTTTCACAGAACTAGAACAAACAGTACTGGAATTTGTACAGAACCAAAATAGACTCCAAACAGCCCAAGCAGTCTTGAGAAAGAAGAACAAAGCTGAAGGTATCACACTCCCTGATCTCAAACTATACTACAAAGCTATAGTAAGCAAAATAATATGGTACTGGTACAAGAATAGACACAGAGACCAAGAGACCAAAATAGAGTCCAGAAATATAAACCTATGCTTGTACAGTCAATTAATCTTCAACAAAGGAAGCAAGAATATACAATGGGAAAAAGTCTCTTAAATAAATGGTGCTGGGAACATGGACAGCTACATGCAAAAGAATGTAACTGCATCACCTTCTTACATCATACACAAAAATAAACTAAAAAATGGATTAGAGACTTAAATCTAAGACCGGAAACCATGAAAGTCCTGGGGGGGTGGGGGGGGGACAAACACAGGCAGTAATCTCTTGGACATCGCCTAAGCAGTACTTTTTTGGATCTGTCTGCTCAGGCAAGAACAAAAGTAAAGATAAATAAATGGGACCACATCAA